CATTTTTATTGCCCGGTTGGAGAAAATAACAAGGAAGAGTAATTAATTAAGTTGTCAGGTGTAAAAGCATAAAAAAGAGGATTAAAATTTACCAATAAAGGTCCAATTTGCCATACCGACCTTGTTAATCCTTCAAAATATTTACCACCACTATTTACTTTGATCATTGATATGTAGCAAGAGAAGTTGATTTTTTTTATTTGAACATGAATAGTGAATTACAGATCACAACATAGTTGAATATTATAAACTTGAATTGGTTGGAACATCAATTAAAGTTGAAGAAAGAGTATTTCCTCAAGATAACTTTTAATGAAAAAAATAATCATTTCAGTCTTTAAAAGATATCTCTCAATTTTATTAACATAAAAAGATAACAAAGGAATAGAATTTCAATTACGTCTTCCTCTTCACATCACATTCACATTGATTTTCATGAAAATTAAAAATATTTCTTAATTAATATATTGCTATGATAAATATCTAGGAAGGGAGGCTGTCATTTTACCATTTTCATATGTTAACAGCCTCCTTTTATCCCCAACAAGTAATGGTCAGAAAGCCAAGAAGAGGTTCATGAATAAAATTCTTGAATATAGAATTAGATGAAAACCCATGTAAATACTCAAATCATCCACTTCAAAAATCAGTTTAAAGTTAATGTTAGCGTGATTTCAAGTTGCCTTCCATGCAAGGATGGCAATGTCCACTTTACAATGATTTCCACAAATTCTGATGAAGTATGTGGTAGATATCTATGATTTTGTTTCTTAAAACTGTTTATTTTTATTTGCAGGTTCTCTGCAAAATTGACTTGCGCATTTCTTGATTTTAAAAAGCTATGAAGAAGTTATCAGAATTAAACACTTTTCAAAATTCTTTGAACGATCAGATTAAGGGTTTAAGGGTACCGTTGTAAATCGGGCATTTGCATCTTTAACAGAAAAGTTTTAAAAGTAATAAAGACCTCTTTCCAAGTCCATAAAATATATTATGTTTTTTAATGCTTTTTTCCCGACTTAGAAAAAAAGAAAAGGAAGAAAAAAAGAGAATCTTTTAAATAACATAGATGGGAAATTTCAGTACTGCTAATTTTGAGGTAAGAATACCCACAGAATATCAAGATGCAATAACTGGAGATGAAGTGCAACAAAATAAAATAAAAAAGCACTCTGCAAATCAAAAAGAAAACTGCATCGTAAATATAAGATAAAGGGGAAGTTTAAATAATGAACCAAATATCTGTATCATTATTCTTCACAGTGCACGTGGTGAAAGTTAAATGGTTTAGTTACCAATATATCAGGTTATATTTTTTGTTATTGTCTTCACACTCACAAATATAATATTTTCAACCATGTAGATTTGATAAAAAAAGTATTACATTAACCACCTCTTCTGCTATGAAAAACAAAAATCCATGCTTATCTCATTTATTAAAATTGTGATACCTAGCTTTTAACAAAATTTTAAGATACATGATATTTTTTTTATGTTTTTTTGCCTAATTACCTTTTCACAGCACATTCTTCATTTTTCCATCTTTCTTTTCTTTTCTACTTTTGCTTTCCATAAACATTTAGTTTAGTCCTTTAAAAGGGAAATATTTTTATTTAATGTTCTACAAAGGGAAGATAGGACATGTGCATTTGTGCAAAAATAATTTCTGTTTGCAAATTGGAGAATATATACTTCAGAGCAAGGATGTAATGCATGGAAAGTTATTTCAGAAGTGTACACATTTTTTGTACTTCAGTGTACTGTCTCTGGGCGGTATTGTAAACACAAGACGGATGTCAAAGCCTGACATGGGATCCATCTTTCACTTAAAAAAATCGATGAAATATTCTGGTCATAGGAAACTATTATGTGAATTATCAAAATTATTAAAATTAAATGCTTTTAACCTCCTCGGATACTAAACGAACACTGATGCATCTATTCTTGTTTACAAATTCCGCCCAAAAAGGACTGGTTTCAATATGTACGCAGAGTATACACGACTGCAATTAACTTTCCTTGCATTACACCCTTGCTTTAGAGAACGAATTCTAATGGAAGAAGGATAAAACAATAGTTTTGAAATAAAAACCCAGTGTGGGAAGTTAAATCTCCTGTCAGCTTTGCTCCGGAGATATGCGAGAAAATTTGAATTTGTTTTTATTCTCAAATATAAAAAAAAGATTTGTAAAGGATTGTTCAGAAAACATAAAAACTAAAGGGCTCTTGTTAAAGGAACTGTATGCGTAATTTTAAGTAACCCATCATTTAAAGATAAAAATGATATGCACATATCACACCGGAACCCTTTAAAACAATGTCTGAGCAAAACTGATGAAGATTTTTCTGTTCTTCTTTCTATAAATTATTGTGATAGGAATTTAAAACTATTCAAGAAAGAAAAACGATGATATCTTCTACATTATGAAGATAAAAAAGAAAGAATGATATATTCGATCTAAATTCACCGCCGTTTGTTTCGGACAGGACTATTTTTTTGTCTTTTTAAAAGACGCTTTGTTCATCCAATATAAAGCAAAATTATCTTTTTGACAATGGAGGTTAAGGTTCTAAAATTTAGATTTTTTACGGTTTATATAGAAATGTCAAGATTTAATCTACAATCGAACTGACAAGGTCTGTGACATAGGACTGCAAAGAAATAGCAAAATCAGAGTTTGTGGCAAAAAATCAGTTCCTTAAAACAATAAAAGATCAATAAGACTGAAAGATTTTGCACTTCGTTAAATTTACTAAAAATCATACTGCATAATATATTAATAATGCTAGTCACAGTCCCTGACATGTGTTTTTCTAAAAGCTATGAACCTAAACTCATCCTGTATTACATTCAACTGTATGTCTTTGTCTGTTGCTCAACTTTAATTTCACAATTGAACGCTATTTTTAACTGTAAAATGAGATGCATGTAAGAAGTATATGTAAACTTGGCCTTTTATTCTTAACATAAAAGTTTAGAAAAATGCCTCGCATTCTAAAACCTCCATAAAGGGGGAATTCCCTAGGATGTTTATAAATGTATAAATGTGAGTGTATACTGTATATATATATGATATTAAAGTTCTCCGCCAAATCTAGGATATATGAAATATCTAATCTCTCATCTTTCAGGGGAAACTTTTAAATCTGTCACAAGTTTCAGGTTTAAGAAAGCTCTCTAATACTAGAAAGTTTTAAATCACTAACTTGGACATTTATGCTTTCATGTAATTTACAATGTAAATTATACAATGACCATTATACATGTACATAAACATAAATAAAACCAAATTTACTTGAAAAAAAATCAATAAAAATTTACTGGAAGTCCCATTTAAAATTACTGTCGAGAAAAAACTTTAAGGTTATGGTTGGTTTTGATTTGAAATCTTTCTAATGAAAAATGTGTAATTTAGACAAGTAGACCAAATTAACTGAGTCTTTGCCATAAATTCTAATTTTCAAATTCCAATATCTTTGCAACCAAAAGTAAAGGACGTGAGATATTTCAAACTATGAGTTCTGTTAAAATCAAATAACCTAAATTTTAATCAGGTTGCAAAGAAATAGGCATTAGCAATTTGATTTTATGGCAAAAACTTCTTTTTAGTTAGTTTTCAAAACACAAATCTTCAATTTTTGACTTATGAGAAATCTAATATCTAATTAGTCAATCACATATTTGCAAAACAGAAGGAAAAAAGGAATAAGAAAGAAAATAATGTTAGATCTTTTTGCTGAAAAAGAAGAAATTTGAAGAATTTGAGAAAGTATTTATGCGCTGGATATCTGTTAGATACAAAGACTGAAAAACACATTTTGGAGTTGAATTTTTTAGATCGTAAAATAACTAAATCAATCAATAACTATAAACCATGGAAGACAACTTCTTTGTTGTCACTTAAAAGTTTACACTATTAGGTTACAAAGATATAGGGATTAGAAAATCTTTGTTTGTGGCAAAGACTCAATTTTTTTTGTGATGAATTCCAGTTTTTATGGCATATTGACCATGAGTATCTTTATTATGATGATAAATATATGTTATACTAAATGAATATAATATATTATTTCTTTTTGTATATTACAATGCATTTACTTATCTATTTTCTCTGAAAAAAAAGATAGCTACAATATATAGAAAAGAAAGGAAAGTAGAAATCGTGAAGGAAAACAATCAAAAATCATCTAGTACAAATATATAAGTTTATAAGTGAAAATCAATAAAGTACGAATACTAAAATCATACCAACCATAAGTGCCAATCCAAAAGTACAAATACTGATGTACAAACCAACCATAAGTGCCAATCCAAAAGTACAAAAGTACAAATACTGATGTACATACCAACCATAAGTTCCAATCCAAAAGTACAAATACTGATGTACATACCAACCATAAGTTCCAATCCAAAAGTACAAATACTGATGTACATACCAACCATAAGTGCCAACCCAAAAGTACAAATACTTAAGTACAAACCAACCATAAGTGCCAATCCAAAAGTACAAATACTAAAGTACAAACCCAAAAGTACAAATCCATTAATACCAGGAGTACAACTTGAACCATAAGCACATTTCCAAAAGTATAATACTATCGTAAGTGAACTGTTAAAACCAATACGATAAGAGTAAAATATAATTAGTGCAATTTGTAAAACCAATACGATAAAAGTAAAATATAATTAGTGCAATTTGTAAAACCAATACGATAAAAGTAAAATATAATTAGTGCAATTTGTAAAACCAATACGATAAAAGTAAAATATAATTAGTGCAATTTGTAAAACCAATACGATAAGAGTAAAATATAATTAGTGCAATTTGTAAAACCAATACGATAAGAGTAAAATATAATTAGTGCAATTTGTAAAACCAATACGATAAAAGTAAAATATAATTAGTGCAATTCGTAAAAATCTCACAACCAAAAATAGAATTCAACCGGATTTAAAAAACTGAATGATGAAGAAAACTGATTAAAGAAAAAGGACTAACCTCAGTAAATATTTCTCCGTCCGGTGAGTTTTGTTTAAATGACGGCTGTCTTGAACTTGAATTAAAAGACGGCTGTCTAGAATTAACAGATGGCTGCCTGGAGTTTGAGGATAATTGGCTTGAATTGAAGGAGGGTTGTCTAGATGAATCTGTACTGCACTGTACAGGAGCTACAAATGTGGCGTAAACAAGAGGATCTCCAAATATTTCTTCGTCAGCCTCAAATTCTACCTCGGCCTCGAGGTCACCCTTAGCTTCAACCTGACAGCTGGCGCAGACCTCACTGGTCTCCTACACAACAAAACTTATAGTAAAAACTTTTTAAAACTATAACACCATATGAAAAATTACAACTAAATTTTTTAAATGTTAAAATCAAAATTAACTGAAAATTTTATATATTTCTTAAGTAACATTACAAAAAATCTTACGGCAGGGGAGCTTAGTTATACCTAAAACTGTTTTAACGAAGCCCCGCCTAGGTTACTGATGGCATATGATAAGGAATAGAATCTCAATAATAAATTAATAAGGATAAAAAATACAATCACAACAGTGCCTTTTTTACTAAAATTGCTCACAAAAAAGTGAAAACTTGACTTATATATGTTGGCACTGGGGGGTGCATCTAGGCATCATTAATACCTTTAAACCTACTTTTAGTCAGGTATAAAACATGAAGATTAAAATAATATTGAAAAGTATGCATACATGATACAATATACTAAACTATATTTATTATACAAAGTAGCTAGATATACTAAACTATATTCAGTATACATAGTAGCTAGATGTGGGGAGCACTCTTTCTAATGACGACCCTTCCAAAGTCCTAAAAGTATGACGTCTCTTCAAAGACTCAAGGAGAATTTAACATCTAACTAACTTTGAAAGTTTTCTAACAAGTGGTTCTTATCTCCCATTCTACTTAAGGGATATTTGTACTCTAGAATATGATTTTGTAGCTTTTATGCAAGCATTAAAAGGTACTTTTATGTCTTTTGACATTGATTTTTTATATTTTAACCTAAAAACAAAATATTTCAAATTTCCATTTAAGTTTATTGCTTCTATGTACACTGTACAGAGTAGTGAAAGAGGCTTGAGGATTGTGACAAAAACCAATTTTAAAAAAACGAGGTAGGAGGGGTGGGGGTGGGGGGTTTGAGAGGGTGAGGGGGTGATTTTACAGGAGAAATCATATCCCTGTTCCTCTTATTTGAAGGATAAGGTGAAAGTAGAAGAGAGATGATTCATGAATCCAGAAATTTCTTTTGTTGCCAGAAAAAATAATATTTCCTTTTTTCCGAAAATAATAAAGTTTTGTTTCAGGAAATGAATATCTCTGTTATAGATAAATGCCTGTCTTCTTTTTCGGAAAATAAAAAATTCATATTTGTTTATTAAAAATAAAATCATTTAAAAAAAGAAGGAAATGGTAGGTTTTAAATTAATTTAATGAAATTTGTTTATTTGTTACCTTTAAATCATAATCTGAATATGAGTTATCACTTTCTTGTGGAGGATAGGACCGCAATACACCCACAACCTGTACAATTATGTTATAATATTTAAAACATAAACAATTAATGTACAATTTTGTACAATATGCCTACATTATATATATGTTCCGTATAGCCGGCCAAACGGCTGGACCGATTGGGCTGAAATTTTATGTGCACACTCATGGGTGGTCGGGGGGTGTTATAGACTAAGAAAAATTCGAACATTTTTTTCCACGAGCAACGCAGGGCCCTTCAGCTAGTACAAAATATAATATTGATATTGATGTTTTCAGAAAGAAAGTTTCTGGTCAGAATAAATTTTTTAAATATTTCATAGTTTATAAAACATATTGTTACTTTTGATATCTTTTATAATCAAATAATGTACCTAATACAATAATTTATTTTCACATCAAAATTATCTTGTTTTCCCATAGATAAAGATAGATTGCGCATAAGACGACATTTTTCATCGTGAAAGATATGTTTTAAAGATATTCCTATTATATAGTTTAACTATAGTCGGTTGTGAACATTGGCTGTTCTTATGTCATTGAGTACTTGTGATGTACATGAGTTCTGTAGAGAGAAATCTAAGTTAGTTTAGTCCTTCTCATGTCCTTCTTCAGTTCTCGTCAATATGATATATTGCTCAGTGAAATATTATTATTCAAATAGTTCCATTCCCGGAGTTTTACATTCTATTATGAAATCCATTAAAACACCAAACCACCCGCTTATCATTGAAGTACACTTTGACCCCTAGAAGTGTGAGTTCGCGGACTGTACAATTCTTGGTGATTTTGCGTACATAAGCTATCTATATTTATTTATTTATCTATGAGTTTTCCACACAGGCCAAAATTTTGCATAAAAATAATACCTTTCCCATATCAACGAGGAGAGACGAGTGGGTTGAGGACGGTATACTGGGGATACTTTCAGATTCTGACCCATCTTTAGAGGATTCTCTGCCCTACTCACACAAACATTCAATCCTTAGAATCAGACTTTCATCAAAGCCCAGTAAAAAATAGTAAGATTTGCTAGATTGAGAGTTTTTATTGGTAATACCATTTGTAAAGAAAATCATGGATGCTTAATTCTTTAATTAGAACTATTAATTCATAGCTTTCAATGATAATAGATATCATCATAGAGAATAGAATATATAGAGAGGAATTTACTAGAAAAAAGTGTAAAACGGCCATTTTGTTGTACTGTTTCCATACTGCAGGTGTACTTCACATATTTATGCTATATAACCTGTTGGGCCCTGTAATATCATTTTATCGAAAATCTAAAATTATTGTTAAAAGAAAACCAAATTATGAAATAGGCTGGTTTCATAATTGACCAATAATCATTTCACATAGATTTTATGCCTTCCACTTTACAAACGATGATTTTCCGTTATAACTATAAATCAAATGATGTTTTTATTCACCTAATTCATTATAAAGTTCATTTAACAGTTTAAAAAATTGTAATGGATAGTCTAGGGAACATAGTGTATTAATGTACTCTACTGCATAAGATTTGTGAACAGTTACATGATTTGTACACTTTGAACTCCCTTTCAGGCTGAAAGGGACTGAAAAAATTCATACCGAGAGATTCTTTTAATTCCTCTCTATATATTCTATTCTCTATGGAAATCATACACTTCTTAGTATACAGGGTGTCCCTCTTAACAGGGTAATTAAAAGAGACGAATTAAAGAATTTCTTTACATTTTAATCTTCAATACCTATTTCATAAAATCTTTTATCAAAAAATGTTAGCACAATTTAAAAACTTTCCAAAATGAAGAAACCCTCATTAAAAATATATAAATGACTAAAACATTGCATATTAGATATTCTCAAATAGATTATCTAGTACAATAGGTGGCAACAGAGAAATGAACAAATTATACACGACGTCACAAGTGTCAAATATAACAAGGAAAACGAAATTGTCTCACGTTAGTTGACATGTTTTCCAAGATTAAATAAAAACAGAAACTAAAAAATACATAAAATTGCACTTATTTTACTGTAAGAAAAGCACTTTATTTTAAAATTATCACTATTATTGATAATTTTGTCGGACACAAAAACTGAATTGACACTTGTGACGACAGAATACAACTGTACTGAGAGTGTACAAATTCTACGTTGCCATCTATTGTACTTAACAATCTATTTGGATATTCTAAAGAATTTTTTTAGTGATTCATCAATAATCTGAATAAAATTCTAAAAGCACAGAGAGTAGACCATATTTTTGAGATGCTAGACAATTAAATATTTGTTTCAATAATTGCATTTGTAAAATTAGGTGAAATGAATGAATGAATCTCAAGAAATTATCATTATCATTTAATAAAACATGCTATATCGTAAATAATTTCATAACCCTTTAAAGGTGTACGTAATGCAAAAAAAAATTATATGAACACAAGTAGAGTTAGGCATCATTATTATCTATTCTAAAGATAATCAGGATTTTTAGGCTTTTAGGGGACTCTGCAAACATTGGAGAATTTAACGCAGTGTATTCTCTAAAAGGTTTGCTTTTATTACACTAAGTCGAATCTTGACTCTGACAGAAGATATAGGCCTGGACGATTTTTCAAATAATTCGTTAGCAAAGAATTGATTTTTCTTCTTTCAGGGTTGTCTTCTGTCACCTGTCAGTAAAAAATTTAGCTTAATTTCAAATAAGAAAACTGATGCCCAACTCTAATCACAAATGTGCTATGCTATGAGGTTAAAAATATAGAAAAACCAACGAATCGTCCGATATGTGAAAAAGGAAAAATGTGTTCATACTTTCCATATAAAATCAGCCAAAATTAAAAACTAATCAAAGAATTTGTTTGTGCCTGATGGGTGTTAGTTGATACAAAATCAGATAAACGTTTCACATTATTACTGCCTTGGTGATCATTGGACAGGCAGGGGTCACTGTGTATTTCGGGGTTAGACTGTACACTTAACGAGGATTGTACTGTGTCACATGCAGCAGCGCCATTACTCACTGGTTTGTTCTGTAACTGTTTTCGTGATTCCTGATTCGAATTTGGCATTGTATAAGTATTTTTTTTTGACAATATCAAATAAAAAAATATCCACTTATCCAAATATAACTGAATTGACAAAGATGTTCTGCCGGCAATATTTTAAAGCTTGCATTTTAAAAAAAAAACATGTCAAACAATTATAGATCTATCAGCTTGAAAAATGAACATTGAAAATAACTTATTAAAATAAAATTTCATTTTGGCAATCATTGTTTTTTTAAATGCGGCATAATTTTTATCAAGCCTAAGAAAGAGACTAGTAATTAATCAATAATTAATCAACAAAATTAAAAATCAATATTTTTAAAAGCAGTTTTATGTTGTTAAACAAAATTTGTGGCAAATCCCTTTTATTTTTTTTTCTAAACTATATTCAGTATACATAGTAGCTAGATATGCTAAACTATATTCAGTATACATAGATCTGTAAATTTAAAACATTTTGCTTCTTTAATATCAGGCATAAGTATAACTGATACTTTAAGGGTACCCATACAGGACAATTAGCTTGCAAGTACTACTTTATCTTTCCTTCAAACAAAACTAGCAAAAAAACATTGTTTCTAAAAAATAGACATTTCATTATACTGTTATGTTAGTAATACTTTGTATTTAAACTTGAGAAAGTAAAAGACATTTTTGAAAATGAAAAACTGAACTTTAACTTACATTCTATGAGATGAAATATAGGACAAAGGTCCAGAAAATAATTATAACTTGTAATACAAAAGTAGGAGTAAAATTGCTATTAAATAAAGATCTTAGTTCATTTATGTGTTTGCTATGGCTGGCCAAACGGCTGAATCAAATGGGCTGAATTTTAGTGAGGAAACTCATGGATACCCTTGGGGATGACACAAGCTAAATAAATTTTAAGTTTTTTGTTTTAATTGAGTTTTAAAATTCCATGGGCAACTCTGGGCACTTCATCTAGTTTGTAATAAAGAGAAAGCTAGCAAAAAGGCGGTGCAATGAATAAAGTAAATTAAATCTAAAATTTAAAAAAAACTAAAAATGGTCTTTTACTACCTCAATAATTGTTTTACTTTGCTATCCCTGATAGCGCCCATCCGATTAGGCTGAATGTGCATTCTAGATTTTTCATTCGGACTTCTGTTATGGTGGCTCTTGTTCACATATACAATTTTCTTAGTTCACTGAATGAACAGCAAACTATTTTTTTTGTTCTTCACTCTTTAGTTTAAGATTTGAAAAGTGTGAAAGCTTTGAGTATACCTTTGCAGGTCTAGAGGGTGGCACTGCCCCCTTGCCCCCTCCCCCTGTATACGCCTTTGGTCAGGGACATTTATTATTACTAATAAAATTTAATAAAATATATCAATCCCTTGCAGTATGCATTAAACAGTATGGAATTTACTTTCTCAATACAAATGAAATTGACATCGTAAATTAATTTACAAAGTGATTTTATGTCCCTCCGCTGTCAGGGGTCGCATTAGATAAAGTTTTATTGACCCCTGCAGGCTGCTTGATAAAGTTTAAAGTTTGAAGTGTTAAATGTTGTTGAATACGTTATAGACTGCAGATTATAAAAGAGAAGGATCATAAATTTTCTTGCTGAGATTCTATCAAAGTTTATAATAAGGATATTCTAGCGAAAGCGTTCTGATATATTGTATGTAGATACATTATAAAATATAAATATTGAGTTACCAGCGGCCGAATTTAAAGAATTTGAGCCGCGGCTCAAATATGAGACGCGGCTCAAATATGGTTGGTTCCACTTTAAGATTATATCAATGTTTCAAGATTTAAGCTGGCGCTCAATTGAAACCGGTCTTTGGCGGATTTGAAACGGGGCTCAATTTCATTAAATTCGGACTATGGTTATCTAGTCTCTATATCCCATTGAAGGATAAGATGTTCACGATTAGATCTCAAACAAAATGCAATTTTTAGCAAAACACGCGACATAATGCTAAACTTTTGTTGGTTAAGGGGTTATAACATGGACATATTACACCAGTTTCTTTCAACATGTTTTAAGTAATAAGATTTAATAGTATGCAAATCATAAATAATCAAATGACAAAATCATAGATTTGAAAAACTGTCAATTCAGGAAAGTGAATTTGTTTAAGGATATGTTTATTGCAAAAATCATTTAAATAAGATTATTTTGGTTTAATAAATTCTTTGAAAGGGATTTTAAAATGTTCAAGTTTCCGAGTTTAGAATTGAAATGAAACTATTCTCTGATTTGGAGAAACCCATTCTAGCATACTAAAACCTGCATCGCCACTATATCCCCCACCCCCTTCCATTCCACCTTCCCCTCCCCTTTCTTCCCTCAGAAACTAAAGCTTTTAAGCTTCTTGCTTTTACCCTCGCTAAAACATTAGCAAATTTTAGTTCTAAATTAAGAAAATATCCTTAAATTTTGATTTTCTCTTTTATTTTGTTTGTATCCAATAACCGAAAAACGGATGATGCGACTGAGCCAAAAATGTTGAACCAACTCACATGACCCTAGAAATGGGGTATAGCTAGTGGAAGTTGAACAATTTCGCACGGAAATTTTGGAATTGATAATTTTGAAAATGAACCAAATACAGAAAAATCCATGAACATTTTAGAACAATTAAAACCGCGACTCTCAGAGTTCTTGAAGCGGGCTGCAAAGCCCCCAAAAGTACAGCTTTTTTGTTTGTTATATCAAATTGCCGTCAAAACTGTTGAACCGATAGGGCCAACGAATTTTTGTAGTAACTCACACGGCCTCAGGGAAGGCTTATGGCCTGTCATATTTGAAGAATTTTGACTGGTAAAAGGTCGATTTGATTTGTTTTCGAAATTAATAAAAAATCTTAAAATCCGCGCAATTCTTTAAAACAACATTTTAGTATTTGCACGTTTGAATCCAATATTAACGTATTGATTGCATTTATTACATATGCAAGACAAGGAACTACCAAAGACGACGTTTTCACATCTAAAAACGTGCAAAACCTGACTTAATTTTCAGGCATAGATTTCGATTTCTCATGATATTTTGCACTTTTTATAAATTGGTAGCAGAGCTGAAATTAAAAAGTTTTTCAAAAGTTACACACTGCTTGAATATGTTAATTTAAGATTAAAAGTATATATATATATATAAACTACGACTTTAAAATTTAATTTTACAAATATTATTTAAGATACGATGATAACAAAATAGCGCATAGTCCTGCCAATTTTACCAAAATTACCAGATGTATATATGTAATGTCGTCTTATTAACTGTCAATTAATTCCGGGTCTTTCTGGTACTATATTTGGTCTACATAGTAGCTAAATATACTGAACTACAGTACACATAGTAGCTAAATATACTGAACTACAGTACACATAGTAGCTGGATATACTAAACTATATTTTAAACTTAGTATAAATACTTGCTTAATTTGCTTAACTATATTTAGTATACATAGTAGCTAGACATACTAAACTATACTTAGTATACATAGTAGCTAGATATACTAAACTATATTCAGTATACATAGTAGCTAGATATACTTAACTATATTCAGTATACATAGTAGCTAGATATACTTAGTTATATTTAGTGTTCATAGTAGCTAGATATACTAAACTATATTTATTATACAAAGTAGCTAGATATACTAAACTATATTCAGTATACATAGTAGCAAGATATACTTAACTTTATTTAGTATACATAGCAGCTAGATATACTTAACTATATTTATTATACATAGTAGCTAGATATACTAAACTATATTTAGTATACATATTAACTAGATATACTTAACTATATTTAGTATACATAGTAGCTAGATTTACTAAACTTTTTGTAGTATACATAGTAGCTAGGCATGCTAAAATATATTCAATATACATAGTAGCTACATATACTTAACTATATTTAGTATACATTGTAGATAGATATACTAAACTAAGTTTATATACATTGTAGATAGATATACTAAACTTTGCTTAGTGCACAAAATAGCTAGATATATTAAACTGTATGAATTAGAAAATAAAACTGTCAAATAAAATAGCATACAAAAAAGCAAAAACCATGTTATACTTAAAATAAATCAATTAAAAATATAGTTTAAAGCATTTCCAAATTATTAATTATGTCATTATACAATAAACTAATGTACATATATATGTACAGTGTACGCTGCATATTAAAAAGTTAGAACTCTACTACTATATATTACTATACTGTTATACTACTATGTATACTTGTATACTACACTAATGATATATATACAGAGTAAGTACTGAGTATAAACATATAGAACTATGTATGTCCTCAGCTGAAAATATAATTATTATTATTGCCAAATTCTCCCTGTAATTCCACTGCTCGAACTGACGCTCTTTTCCACTTAGACTTAGGAGTTTGCTGCGCTTGTGCGCCCTCAGGCATACTCCGGCTCCATGCCGGGTGAATAGGCGTGGCTAGGATTGTCCCGCCCTGATCACTTTCATCACTAGTGTCTGCCTCGGAGAGTCTTCTTGAGCGCACTAATTTCTTGTTTCTGTTGGATAGTATACACACACTCGAAAACAACAGACACATTGGGTGCACAAACTACAGTTAGGAATACTGTAAACATAAACCCCTAGTAGAGGGAGTAATGTTTGCTCCCATCATGATGGATTATTTGCGTTCAAATGTTTGGGTGTTTTATGCGCTCTTCACATCAAGAGAAATGTGGGACATTAAAATTTGTCGTTTTTTTCAGGCGTAATAATAGTTTTAGAGGCAGAATATTTATTTACCATTTTAATTGCTCTTATAACAACAATTGTTAAATATATGATTGCAAATAAACATTTTTAAAAAGAGCGAATTTAAAAAATCATCGATGGTCGGATACAAATCTAGATGTAAAACGAATTAAAAGTCCATTTTTTACACTCTTTAAGATGTCATAGCAACTTGCATTCTGCAGAAATAGATTATCACTTAATTTTTTAAAACAATTAAGCATTTTATTATAAAAATAACCTCTTGTTAACGGGCCAGGTTACGCGTACAATTTATATAACAAAAACACAATTAAAATAGTAAGAGGGACTGTATGTCAATATATCAGCTTTTAAAATTTGTCAACAATATATCTATCTAATCTAGCACAATATATTGCACAATAGGACGCACCTATTCGGACGCGCTGATGAGGATGCACTTAAAATGAGAACAACATTGAGGGCGAAAATTGAGGACACAAGTACGCACAGTGAGGACACACATTAAGGACGCATAATGAGGACACACATTAAGGACACATAATGAAGACACACATTAAGAACACACACTGAGGACGCATAATGAGGACGCTCATTAAGGACACACAATGAGGACGCACATTATTGACACACCATAAGGACACACATCAAGGACACACAATGAGGACACATGTTAAGGACACACAACAAGGACGCACATTAAGAACACACAATCGGGACGTACATTATGGACGCACATTGAGAATACACAATGAGGATGCACATTAAAGACACACCATGAGGACGCACATCAAGGACGCACAATGAGGACACATGTTAAGGACACACAACAAGGAAGCACATTAAGGACACACAATTGGGACGCACATTAAAAACACACAATGAGGACGCGAAATGAGGACACACAATAAGGACACACTAATGAGGACACAAGAGTGAGTCAAACCCGCGTAATAATTTCCACGGATAAGAAATTTTTCCTCAAAATATTTCCAAATAAATCAAAGAATTTGAAAACATTTCTTGCGCAAGGTGTAGACTGGAGTGCAGGGTGTGAGTTTATATTTGAAAATTGTAACATGCTTTCAAGTTCATTCATGGGCATCTAGGCATCATTAATACCTTTAAACCTACTTTTAGTCAGGTATAAAACATGAAGATTAAAATAATATTGAAAAGTATGCATACATGATACATATCATAATACATTTTGGAAAATTGGCTCTTACACCATAATTAATTCCTGCCCCCCCCCCCCCACATTAAAATTGATTTCAGTTTATTCTAGGTATCATTTGGGGTTATTTTGTTGTTGCAAAAATAACATTGTGAGCGGACGTTTTATTCATGGTTTATTGTACAGTACACCCTAATCAAATCAAATCAAAGAAGACAAAAAGAATTAAATAGAATAAAATATTCTCCATTGTAATTCACTCACCCCTTTCCTGTCCACATGCCTGTTGCAGACAAGCTTTAAATACAACTTAAGAACTTTCCATACTTCATTTTTCTACATAAACTTTTTTTTAGAATTTTAGAATCCTGAAAGAAAGAAATGAAGAAGTTTGTTATCTCATCTAAAAAAGATAATGTTTCCTGGAAATACAGAGCCGCCTGAAAATCTCTGTTACCGGCTAAAGATTAGGAAAGAAAGCTTTCTCAGATTAGTTCTCATTAGCTCTGAAATTCAGGCCTTGTAGCTTTAACCGAAGCATAGTGGAGTTGCAAGGTATTTGACTAATGGTCTCTACTCCAGAAGCATCTACAGATATTTTAGAACATTTAAGTTCTCAACAAACATGACGGTTCAAAGATCATCTTGCTAAATGCCTTATAAACAGGGATCAGGATCAATTTCGATTTCATGCCGGTGTTTGTTTGAAAAAAAAACAGAACCAGATCCCGATAAAAACCAGGCTTGACAAAATTAATGTAACTGCCTGCCATCTCTATACACCTTTAAAAAATATATTTTAAGAATCCCTTTGCATGATTTTTATACTTAATCTTTTTCATATAAACAGTATAAACAGTAAAAAGTATACTTTTTAAATCTTTTTAAAGGGACCGTTCACTTATTTGGGTAATTTCAGGGTAAACTAAACAGCCTATTCGCTGTTGATTAGTAATAGTCTTACTTTTCAAAGACAACTGTGGCCGGAGAAAAAGTCGATTTTTCGTTCAGAATTCGAGCGCAAAGGGATGGTCCCTTTCTATAGACACTAATTCATATTTTTTTCAGCATGTTGTGAATCAAAATAAATTTCGAATATAAAATTAAACTGTAGTATCTAATCGTTAATTGTAAATGTCATTATTTTTAATTTTTTTTTTGTTTTTTAACTTTCTATTTCTAAAATAACACTATTTTATCGCATTCAAAATTGTGTATTGCCTGTGTAAAAAGCTGAATTGAACGCGGCATGACAAATAAAAAGTTGTGCACATACGGGAAAAAAATATACAAAATCTACGAACCAAAATACGAGAAATGATTAATTGATTGTCGTAGAGACGTCGTCTTTGTAAACACATTTTACATGTTTAATACGGAATTAACGTAAATTTCTTGCTAACTCAAATATCAAAAGTTTTCAGATTTTAGTACATAATAACGAACACATAATAATAAAATATAATAAATTTAAATGTTATTGGGCTGCTGTTACTGAAAAAACATTAAATAGTGTCTATAGAGAGGGACCGTCCCTTTCCGCTCAAATTCTGAACGAAAAATCGGCTTTTTCTCCGGCCACAGTTGTCTTTGAAAAGTAAGACTATTACCAATCAACAGCGAATAGGCTGTTTAGTTTACCCTAAAATTACCCAAATAAGTGAACGTTCCCTTTAAAACATGTTCAGTTGGTTTAGTGAAAATTAGTGCATTCTTAGAAGAAATTTCATTACTAATATTTTTAAGTAACTTTTGGGTACCCCGAGGAGGAGGGGGTGACATAGGCTAAAAAATTTGTTGTCAAAATTTAAATTTTTTCGAAAAATTCAAACTTTTTCATCTCAAAATAATAATTCTTTTGTTCAATATTTTTCTACAAATATGTTCTTAAAATTTCATTGTCAACGCCAGGCACTTCAGCTAGTTTCAATTATTGTGTTAAAAATGGTGTATATAGGGACTTCTAGTGTTTATGTCTGATTAATACTGTGGGCGAAAACGTTGTTTTTCTAACTAAAAGTGTTTGATTGTTCCTGTATTTTTCCCTGTAGCAGAAATGCACTTACTTTAGAAAAGAAACCACAGTTTTTTAATTATAGACATGGATATCTAGATCATGCTTGACCAGACAAATCTTTAAAGGGTACCATATTGAATCGGACCTGCACCTTAGTAAAAGTAAAAGTAAACCCTTTCCTTATTTTATGAAAAATAGGCTTCCTGTTCTTCAATGTGAACAAGAATAAAACATCTCTAACTGCACCAGAGATGAAGGTTTACTCCATATACCGGATAGAACTAGCTTTAAATTCTTGGGTTAATGGCGCCCGAACTTGAATTTGAATATTAAACATGCTTTATTGCATAATCTTAAATATCTCATTTCTATTCCTGGCTCATTTAACTATACATATACATACAATTTACACAGTTGAAATGGCAAGAAACATGCTTGCTTCTTGCATACTTTCTATCAGAATATGTAGTTGGTGAAAAAAGCCTAAACAATTTTTGTAAAACAATCATTGATATCTTAAAATACAAATATTTGATATATTATTGTTTTAAAATTTAATCTAAAAAAGGAAAGTCTTGGTAGAAAATTTGTTTAATTTTCAATTTACTCTTAATATAGAAAAAGGGTTTTTGAAATGTCAAAGGTCGACTGGGTACACTGTTTTTAGACGCCTGATTTTCGGCAAAAAACTCTTGTTTTTATGGGCACATGCCATCTACAGTAGACGGGGATTCTAATTCTAAAACAAAGTAAAAAATCAATCCCCTTTAGTCTAGAACCCTGGCAGATTTAAGAACTAGCCCTTTATTGCAAAATATCTTAAGCAGTTTTCTCTTGTCCCTGCCAACTTTGCTGTCAATATTTGAAAAATAACATGAGATAATATATGTAGATTTTATACATCAACTATTTATCAATCCAGTTATTCATATATAATTCTATACTTTCCATCATCGTTTTCTATACAAATATCACAAATATAAATATTAATACCATCTAAAGAATCCAGGTTAAGAAAGTCATTTTTTGGAATAATGTTCCAGCAAACGATATTTTGACCCAAACAAATCTAAATTAGCAACAATAGTAAAGTGAAATTATCGGCAACTGTCCCCACCTAATCCTTTTTTCTGAAAAATGTTTGACAAAAAAAAAACATTTACATGCTATTATGCATGTATATTTTTTCAAATTTAAAGACAAAATTCCTAAAAGTAGTAACTTAAGCTTGTTAGAAAGATACAGTATGCAAAATTTAAGTTTAAAATTTTTTAAAAATAAAACTTTGATTTTCTGAAATCTTAATATCTAAAAAATAGGCATGCTTTCTACAGATTAAAATCAATTTTCTTTAGACTACAAATCATTTAATTGCTAAAGTTTAGGACCTGAGTATAACACCCATATGTTTGTGATCAGGATTGTTTTCTCTCTAAGAAATTTCTTCTAATAGTTGTTTAGAAAGTAAGTCAATTAAAAACTAAGATAGATAACAGATTACATTTTCCTTTTAACAGACGTTTTACATTTTACGCCTAATTCTTAGGTAATAATTTTCCCCTTGAAATTTGAAAATGTCAGTTGCTGAACTTAGAAATTCTAGACAAAAAATACAAGCTGCCGTTTGCTGGAGTGGAATTAAACATAGCTAGAAAGCTTGTAAATATGGGACCTGAAGGGGCTTAAGAGAGCTTAAGGGCAAAATAGCTGATTAGCAAAAAAATTGGATGATTAAAAAGTATTCAAGTTATCACAATATATATAATAAAACAAGACATTCGTATATATATATATATATGTTGTCTATATGTTGACCGATCGAGCTGAAATTTTTTGTGGACACTCAAGGGGGGCCAGGGGGTGTCATAGGCTAAACAAAATTTGAATTTTTATTAAATATTTTTTTTAAAATTTTTTTCACAGGCAACACCAGACCCTTCAGCAAGTAAGTATATAAAAGCTAATGAAAATAAAAATGCATTAAAAGCTTAAAATCCGAAAGTGATGGCTAAAAATTAAAGCCACATATTGAAAATTTTGAAAAACTGAAAGGTTATTACAGGGTGTCCCACATCAAATTAGACCAGGTCAATGGGTCTAAATTACGATTTGGGGGACAAATCAGAAAAATTAGGAAGAATGAATCATTTTAAAAAAATTTAATAAGGCTAAAGAATTTTTTTTTGCAGAAAATGCTAGATTTTTAGAGTATTATGTGCAAATTTTGGCGTTAAAGATTGGAGATAATCTAACATGATATGGGACGCTCTGTATATTAGAGAGATAAAATGCTTAATAATGAAGGGATATGTAGTCTGACTTTTTGACATTGCTGGTGGGGGATGTAATTCAAAAATAATATATAATTTAATTTATGTTTAGGGTGCACAGCAAGAATATGATGAATATTATGTATGCCCCACCAACACCCCTCCTCATTACAAAGTTGCATGCAGGAGTACAGTGTAAGCTCAATGCTGCTGAATCCTGTATACATTAAACAAGAAAACTAATTAATACTTTATATTTGTATGCTTCTGGATTATTTATTCAAATCATAAGGAATTCCAGATATTTATATAATTTTAAAACAGAAAATACAGCACAGACTTCTATTTACGAAAATAAAACATAGCTTTGTTTAAAAAAAGTACTGAAGTTCTTGAGAGGAAAATGAGGAAAACTTTTGGCTCCCAGACAAAAATGCATAAATAAGAAGTCATTTTTTTAGTTTTTCAAATTCCTGTTTTTGCACAGTTTGTATGCAAAGGGTGGAGAAATATGTATTGTTTAAAAAAGCTATCTTGTCACAAAATATTCAGAATTGTGTTATATGTTTCATATTTTATATTAAGTATATTGTATATTGTATATAGTATATTCAATATTGAATGTTAAATACTTCAAATTGTATAGGGCATATTGTATATTCTTGATTATACATTGTATTGGTGAATTTGGTTGTTGTAAATGTAGTGTATACTTTTACATTGAGGGGGGCTGAGGGGGGGGGGCCGATTATTTCCTAGAATATTCTACACATGTAGAGATGTATTGATCAATATTGTAAATAATCAAATGTTTTATAAATATGAGTCCAAGTGTTCAGTATGTTATTGGAGATTGGAAGGTTTACTCCCAAACTTATATTGTGTGAGGTATTTTGTTTTCATAATAACAAGATAAAGATTAATTCAAATTACAGACATACTTAGGGTGTACAAGTCCTTGCAGTGTGCATTTTTCTTCAAAATCATTAAAATTTAGAACAAAAGTTTTGAAAAAGTATGAATTATTTATTTGTATGTTTTATCATATTTATTTGTTTAGACAGTGCAGTGGTTGTCATGATGGAAGGTTTAAAGGCAATAGTACAATTATATTTAAAAAAATTATAAGTTACCTTTAATTTTGTATTTAAGGACTTAAAAAACCTTAATTTAGAAAATTTCTGAAAACAATGATTTCTGTAAACTTCTAATACATTGTTTTTATTCTGATTTTTAAAACCCTATATCAATGTTCTAAACATGAAAGTTTACACCATCAGGATACAAGTATATACAATTTAATTGCATTACCCCTTTAACAGCTAGAGAATATGAAGATATTACCAATACAACGAATGCGCACGGAGAAAAAATCGGTACTTAAATAATAACATGTTTACTAGAACCAAATTCAAGAAACTAATTGTATCAATTTCTTTCCTTAGATTAGTGAAGAAGATGACTGTGGTTTTCAACTTACACACTCAGGTTCATCAGGAAGAAAATAACTTTTAAATTTTAGTTGCTATCCTTGGCATGTGGGTTTTAACTCGCCCATAGCTTTCAGGAATAGGTTTAAAAAATATAAGACATAATTTCTGATTACTTAACATGGCACAGCTATTTAAGGTTTTTGTGCCAAACTTCCAAAACTTTTAGAAGAAGAAAAACATTGAGTTATTTTTTTTTTTGGGGCAGTTGATACTATGGCTGTGGCAGCGAATAGCATTCTTAGTCTTTTCAACATAAGGTGATTAGATAACTAACTATTTTTAGAGAATAAGATAAAAAAATCTTTTCTTGCAGGGGCAACTCAGTTTCACCAAAGGTATGTTTCTTTTGATTTTTTTAAAATAAAAAACCAAGAAATGTCAAAGATCTCAAATAGGTTTTAGGGCACAAGGAAATGAAAAGAGCATCTACTAGATGTCGACGTCATGATAATTTAAGCATGAAGGATCGATGGTATGAGAAGATTGGAAGAGAGGAAACTATGGTTGTGCTTTACAAAGCCTTATCACAAGACTACAATGATCGAAGCTTCAGAGAACTTAGGGTATAAAATTCAGGGGTATATATTAAGTAAAAAACGTCCCCCTCTTTTTCAAAAATCATTTTTTTTCGTGAAAAGTATCAAAAAGAGTAAAAAACTTGCCTTTTGATGTCCAATTTTCAATTTTTCCAAAGATCTTCAAAATTCATTCTTAAAAATTGATCATGAATTTATTTAGTTGGCCAGCGAACTTAGAAGATATTCTGAAAATCAATATGTTCTGGAGAGTGTAGAGGTTGGGACAGATTTTCCTGCGATCATAATTAAGAACAAGAGACTATTGAGCTCTTTCCACAGAGAAAATGTTACCGATTTAATCAAAAATGAGTTTGAAACTAACATTTTGAAGCAAAGTTATCTCTCTAAGATTGATACTGATTCAACCATGGTCGAGGATGAGACAAAAAGGAAAGATTCCACAGAATCACCAAAATCAGGTTTGGTCTTATCAATTTTGGAGAAAATACACAGAGCAATGTTTTCTTTAATTTTTTTAAGGCTACACAGCAATGAAGATCAACATGGTTGAGATCTCAGTTCTCTGCTGTTACAAACCGTTCAGGAGCCCTACTCCACCAAGGCAACAACAGAAACCTTGCTTCATTGTAATGGTTTTTAACAGTGTAGACTATTTAGAAGGTCCGGTGGATTATCTTAACTCCTATACTCTTTAAATATTTATATATACTAACTTGGGAATCCAGCTTTGCCTGCAAACTAAACTTTTATTATAAAAGTCAACTAATTCAGCTTAGAATATTTTAACCAAAACAAAAACGTTCCTGTCGTTTTTACAATCAAGATTTGAGGCAAATATGTTGAAAGTAGTTTTGATCCAGCATTTAAATAAACATGACAAACAAACAGACAAAGATTACTACTTTATAAATATAAATATATATACTACAACATAAATATTTAGATATGAAGAACAGAAAGAGCTGGAAAACTTGGTCTAACATTGCAAATATTCTTGAAAAACTGAATAATAATAAGGTCAGCTTTATCAATCTTTTTATGAACATATTACATAAGTTACAAAGGAGATATTTATCTGCGTATCTTTCTTTGATAAGTTCATTGTACATATGAAGAAAAAGTAAAAAGAAAGGTTTTTGAAATTTGACACTGGTTACGTAATAAAAAACAGAAATTTTAAGTGTTGTTTAAACAATCGGTAAATTATGGTTTTTTTAAAAGTACTTTGTATAAATAAGGTGGAAAAATTAGAAAGAAATATTTCGATGCAACAACAAAAAAACAAATAACCAAAAAAAATGTTTTTTTCCAGATTGATGCACAAAAAATACATTTTCTTGGACAAGAACGAATTCCTCCTAAAAATGAAAAGTGCCAAGTGTTTGCAAGTGAAAACAATCAAACCTATATCATTATTCTAGATCTCATGGTTAGACAAGATCAAATACTTTCATTACTTCATATTGTACAGTCAATTAAAGTAAACTGTACAGGATACATATCATTGTATTCGGAAGTTAAGTAAACCACACAAATTTTGTAATTGAAAAACGTTTTAATGTACTCCAGAAACATCTATTATGTATATTAGGGTGACACAGGAAGATCACCAAAAAATCAAAAATCAAAAAATCAAAAGGTGGATAGGTTCTATGTGTGATGTCTAACCTTAGCGGTGAAATCCAAAAAAATTTATGGTTCTAACTTTATTCTCTTAGGTGGAAAAAGTTTTTGAAAAACCTTGACTTTTCTCACTGTAGAACTAAATGTTTACCGGCCATTTCTTTAATATAGTTAGACCTAATACCCTCGCCTTCTCTCTGAACAATTTCAAGTCGCTTTCTCCTCACAGTCTCTCTGTTTAGACCAACTTGTTTGAGAGGGATTTCAAGATAATTAACTATTGCTGCAAGAAACATTGTTTGGTCTCTATAGCTTAGCCCACTTCTTACGCTGAGGGAAGTTGTTGCCTCCTCTAGTCCTTCTAGTGAGATATCTTTCTCAACTGTAACAAGAGTTGAACCTTTCTCAATTCTTCTCTTTCTGGAAGTCTCATTTAAACCTATTTAAAATTGAAGACAAAGAAAACATTTCAAATAGTTTAAAAGTTGGTTTTGCAGCTTGCCAAATGTAATTCTGAAAAGATTGGTATTTAAAAAAAATATGTAATGCAAATTTTAATATATGTACCTGAAATAGATGTATTTGAAGGACCTGCTAGGTTGACTTCTGATACAAATGTTTGGGTTTCATTATGATCATTGATGTCAGAATCATCACTATCATCATCATCGAATGGTGACTTTTCTTCTTGCAGTGACAAACCTTTATTAACTGGGGCAGGATCATATAAGATATAATTGGCATCATCTGGGAACGGATCACAGAAACCTTCAGCAGCAATCTTCTTTCTATACTCATCATGCCTCCTATACTTCTCAGTTCTTCTCTTGATAACTTCTTCAAGCTCCATATCACATTGATGGCTCATCCCCATTTTCCGAGCAGATCTTTGATCCTGCAAAAACTGCATATCCTCCATGATACTCTCCTTGGATCTTGGCATAGACTTATCATTTCTCAGCATTTGTTCAAAGTTGGGAGAGGCAATATCAAACAACCCATTCATCATATCCTTAAACTTTTGAATATTAACTTCATGTGCTGGCTTGGTTGTTCTCTTCTTCAGAATAGTTTGTGCCTGCTGAGATTATTCCATTGTTTGTGTAATTTCTCAAACTTAATCTTAATCGACTGCTCTGTGATGATTTAACTTCCAAATCCGCAAGATACCCAGATGTTTACAATCTTCCTAAGCACACATTCTTCTCCAGTAGCTTCATTGCAGGGTCCATCAAAATATTTACAGATCATGTCAGATGTATTCCTAGCCATGGAACAGGAAAAGTTGTTTCTTGTAGATTTAAACCTGACACTTTTGCCGCTGATTACATACTGGAAGTACCTTAGTACTGTTCCATTAGTTGGCATTTTACTTGAACTGATGTTTGACAGAGGGGATTTCATCAAATAAAGTGTTCTTCTTTGATTGTAATTCATGACACGGTGTGGATGAAGATCAGTTTTCCCCTTTTTATTTGGTCCCATTTTTGTTAATTTCTCTATTAACACAAGTTTTATAAATATTACATAAACTGAACATCATGTTTTTGTTCTGACTCGTCAAAATCAAGAAATTTTCTGAAAAAAGCAGAAACTGTTTCCACCTGATGCAATGGTCCTATCCTACCAAAATTTTGTCAAAATGCAGCCATAATGCCACATCACCCAAACAACCTATCCACCCAACTTTTATTTTTTTTTTCATCTTCCTGTGTCACCCTAATGTATATATTTGTTTCTTATAGCTGGCCGAATTGGCGACATTTTTTTGGGAAACCATGGATTTTGATACCCAGGGATAATAAAGAAAGTTTAATCGATTTTTTAAAACCTTTTTTTCAAAGTGTTTTCAAAATTCAACGGGCAACGCCAGGCACTTCAGCTAGTATTTTATATGGTAATAGAAATGACGTAGAAATTATGAGATGTTCAGTCTAACTAAAATTTCAGGGTTATATACCATACAATTTTTGAAGTTATAATAATAAATAAACCTCTGCGTTTTAAGGTTTTCCCATTTTGAGCCATGTGATAATATTACTTCAATGATAAAAAAATATTTCCCCTTCAAATTAACAGCTTTTCTTTGTTTTCATGTTTTGTGATTCTTTACTGTAGGTAACCTGGTTAGAAAACAAAGCTGCAATGAGATGTCGTCACAATTCTATTGTAATACAAGCATACGACTGTATTATTTTAAAAAATCCTAAAACTGGCGCTATGATATATTGTATATTGTATATTGTATACTGTATATTGTATATTGTATATAGTAGATTGTATATTGTATATTGTATATTGTATATTGTATATTGTATATTGTATATTGTATATTGTATATTGTATATTGTATATTGTATATTGTAAATTGTATATTGTATATTGTATATTGTATATTGTATATTGTACATTGTATATTGTATATTGTATATTGTATATTGTATATTGTATATTGTATATTGTATATTGTATATTGTATATTGTATATTGTATATTGTATATTGTATATTGTATATTGTATCCTAAATAATATACACTGCTTAAAACTGTATTTAGAACAAGCGTGTGTAGCTAGTAATGAAGTAAGTTGTAATTAAATAAGTTGTAATTAGTTTAACATTAAACTAAATAAACTTCTATCTGTGCTGAAACATTTAAAAATTTTAGTAAAACAATGCACTTATGTATTTGTATAATTAAACTACACAGTGCACATATATGTTAACTATTTAAGGTACATTCTACATTAAAGGGACTGTAAGCATAATTTTCAAGTGACTCTCCATGCAAAGATTACAATTCCTGATTCACAATGGTACCCTTTAAATCTTTATCTGATCAATAATGTGGATGTTATTGTCTATTTCTATGCTTGAAATCATCTAATCTTTATCTGATCAATAATGTGGATGTTATTGTCTATTTCTATGCTTGAAATCATCTAATTCACAAGAAATGTGCAAGTAAAGAGAATACACAATTGAAAATATTCAGTTTTCAAAATTATAAACATGAAATCTAATTCATACCTTATGAGGCAAAGCTATCTATGCATAGAGGGTTACTTGAAATTACGCTTACAGTGCCTTTAAAGGCATTGTTTTTGCTTTTAGTTTTAATGTGTATAACCAATCCTCATTTATGTTATTATATTATAAATTTTTTTTTTTCACACACAAAGATATAAATACATATATAAATGGTGTAGTTTATAATAAACGATCTGAGCAAAAGGGGGTTTCCCGGCCTTTGGGCGTATTCGAAGGTAGAACTATTGTGTTATGAATATTAGGATCAAGCATTGATCTCTCTCAAACTAATTTATTTAATTGATAGAGCTGTTAGAAAAATAATTTGTTCCCAAAGTTAATGTCAAATTTTTCAACAACAAAAATATTAGAAAACAAGACTATCCTAGATGCATAAAGGGCGTCTTTCATTTTAATTCAGCAAGTTTTCCCTTTTATACCTGACAAATAGAGTGTTGTGTAAGCGAAGTTTTTTTTTGGCTTGATTCTCCACATTGCATAATTTATGCGATGCATGTGGGTGATTATGTGCACCCTAATGCGCGTCCTCATTCTTAGTGCAGTCCTCAATATGCGTTCTCATTATTGGTGCAGTCCTCAATATGCGTTCTCATTATCTGTGCAGCCATAAATTTGCGTCCTTATTATTAGTGCAGTCCTCAATATGCGTCCTTATTATTATTGCAGTCCTCAATATGCGTCCTCATTATTAATGCTTCCTCCTTAGTGCGTCCTATTTGCTATAGTAAATATTTACAGCAATATTTATTAAAAATTGTTTATTTTCAAATAGATGAACAATAAAAATTACCTTCAATTTACTTCTGATTATTTTCACTTTATAAAACTATTTAAATCACTATTTGTCCAATATTTAATCTGAGCAGGGGTGAATAAAGTTTACCAGGCATTTATAGAAAATAAAAGATGAATCATATTCTGAAGCAAATGTGATTTAAAGTTACTCCCCATAGTGTGTAAAATACTTCATTCCACAAAGTTTATTTATTATTCATGACACAAAATCATTTCATTTATTCTGAAGTTTCAAATCAAGTGATAACCCCCTGAAAATTAAGAAAAGCAAAAAGAGATTACTTTGTCCAAATTGCATTTTAAATTTAAGAAAAGTGAAATTTCATGGCAAGAGTATATATGAAGGGTTTAGTAATAATTACCATGGTTATTTTTAATGTACTCTTAAATTAACAGCACATTATTTGAATTTTTTCTCCAAATTAAAGGGAGTGTTTGCGAAAAATTAAATAGGGTATAGAATTACGGCGAAAAATAAGCGCGTTTGATCGCTACTAATCTTACTTCTATCTGTTGCGTCTATCAGAAGAAAATTGTTAAAAACGACTCATACCGAGTTGAATGTTGCAACTGTCTCATACAAAATTGAGACAGTTGCAACATTCATCTTGGATCGTAAAGTATTCAATTTAATTCCAAACATATCTTTAAGATATTACAACCAATAATCATCGAAAGTTTTTCGACGCATTCGTGTATAGTTGATATTTCATTTTTTATTTTTTATGATCTGATGTTACTTTGGAAAACAGTTATGCCTGTTTCGAGGATTTTTGATAATAAAGACGACATTTTCCTACTTTTTAAGAATGTTTGAAAATCCAGCGCCAGAATAAAAAATATTATGAAATAAATATTAACTATATACGAATGCGTCGAAGAATAATCAATGACTATTGTTTATAATATCTGAATGATTTGTTTCGAATTAAATTGAATATTTTGCGATTCGACTTGAACGTTGCAACTTTCTGAATTTGTATGGACGCTACGTTCTTCGGTATGGGTCGTTTTTAACAATTTTCTCCTTATAGACGCAAAAGGTTAGTAGCGATCAAAAGCGCTAATTTTTCGCCGTAAGCCTAGACACCCTTTCGTTTTTCGCATCTCCTTAAAAAAAATATTTATAAATCCAAAACATTATAAAAGTTATATTGAGGAGGGAATGAAGAAGACTGTAAACACCCCTGCAAATTGACACTACTGCCATGTAACACGTAACAGCTGGCGAGCTAGCACACCCAGATAGTTGACCAGATTATCTGTTAGTAGCTGGGCTGACTAGGTCGAACTGACCGCAACTATGAGCTGGCGTCCTCACAATGCGAGGCTGGGAGTGGGGAAGGGAGGATTAGACAATAGAATGAGACACATACCGGCTGCAGGGGGTAAGGATGCAGGGGTGGGAGAACAAGGGGGGAAGGAGAGGAAAGTTTTTGTTTTCTACTTTCAGCTGAAATTACAGAGGGTAGATACTAGATATCAGAGATACTAGATAAATACTTTAAATACCACACAAAACTTAGCATGAGAGAGATCCATGTTTTGTATTTGCTACAATGCGCAATGGTTTGTGCACAAAAATGAGAGATTGTGTATTCAAGAACAATAGCCATTGCGCCCAATATATTACGGAATTGTAGCTAAACTTTGGAATTTGGATTCTTATTTTCTGAAAACAAATTATCAGGAAAGTGTATTCTTACTTCCCCCCCCCCCCCTCAGAGAAGAAAATTCAAGAAAAAAGAATGAAAAAGAAAAAAAGGGAAATAAGAGAAGAAAAAAGAAGCAGAAAAAGAAAAAAGGGGAAAAAGAGAAATACAGGGAGGAAAGGGAAGAAAAAGTATATTAAAAGAAGAACCATATTAATATCATGAGTCTGGGGAAAAAAATTCAAAAGATATTTCTTTCCCTTTCTTTCTCAATGGTGATATTATTACTTTCCCCAGTGGTTTAAGGGAAGAGAAATATTAAAAAGTTTCCCCATTGCCTTTGTTGAAGAGAAATTAGATATTTTGGAAAAGTTTCATATAATCCCTTTATACTGAGTCTCATTTCCCGTATTTTAAGTTCTAATGGAAGAGAATTACAGAATCTTTAGAACCTGTTATACTATAGCTCAGCATAGACTGTTTCTGGGGGGGGGGTGGGAGGTCAACACCCGTTGGAGCCTGAAAACCCCCTGGAAACCATAGATCTTAAGGAATTTTAAAGTTGGCACATTTAAAATTAGACACTAACCTGTTCAAAAAGTTTGCTAATGTTTCCTTCAGGCCGACTTTTATCTGCTACAGACTAAATAATTAAAATAAAAGTGGAAAGACGACATTAAAATTATCTTATGTTTGATTGATGTGATGACTGATGAATTGTGATAAAGAAAATAGTTTTAGCAGTAGTATGAAAATCAAATTACTAAATAAAATGGATCTAATGTGCACAGCAAAATTGCAGTGTTTTACGTTCATTGGACTGTTTAAATCCATTACTTGAGTAATATTATAACCGTCGTCTTCCCATTCTGTAGATTTATGGATATGATTACTGATTAATTTCTAGTGAAATGTCCGAAATTAAATATTAAAATCCAGCTTGCGTCTGAGGGATCCTTATCCTTATTTACCATAATGGGAGTTCCCTCCCCTACCCCCGCCCCACCCCCTCCTTTCTCCAGCTTTCTATTTCCTATAGAACCAATGGAGTCTGCACTACAGTTTTGAACCAAGTATTTCAGTGGTATTCTTGTTTTTTCATTACAATGTTATCTTTTATTTGAAGTAAAACGTGATCCTATTGATCGTTATAATTATTAACTATTAAATAATTATATGATTATAAAGAAAGAAAAGTTAACAGATCACTTAAGTACAATTTACATTGTACAAATGTACATTTAGCAACATCTACATTAATATTTACATTGAAAATCATTTTCATTGCAAATTTTAGTAAAATACATTGATTTGTACATTGAATATAGTTCACATGTACATAAGTACAGTTTGCATGTAGAACGTACATTAAGTACAACTCACGAGAACATTAAGTTCAACTTACATGTACATTAAGTGCCGCTTTCATGTACCTTAAGTACAAATTACATCATTACATGAAAATTAAATACAATTTACATGTACATTAGGTACAACTTACATGTACATGAAGTACTATTTAATTGTAAATAAAATAAAAAGTACATGTACATTAAGAACAACCTACGCGTAAATTAAGTAAAACTTACATATAAACTGACAAATAAATAAAAATCAGTCCATGTACTGTACTTCTACTTACTACTTACTACTTACTATTATGGGGATTTTTTTTATAATATCCTAAAACTTTTTTCAAAAAAATTTTCAAATAAATATTAGAGAAATATTGAATCTATTAAATTTACAATGTAAAAACAGACGACACAGTTAAAAATCGTTAATAGTACTTACACAAATAAGAGCAAAATATCATTCATTTTAATGGACATTTTATTAACTAACTGACACAAACGACAACCATAGCTTTCAGCTGAATATTTTTCAGTTATATTATTTTATATGGGATTTTCACCCACAAACAATAAGGTTTCAGAAATTGGTTGTTTAAAAGTAATCGTCTTTCTTTTTTTATATTTATGGTTTCCGTCAGCTATTAACTTCTTTGTTTATTTATTATCAATACTCTTATAATTATATTCTACCATTTATACACTATTTTGGAGGGAAAGAATCAAGTTTAATCCTCAAATCAAATTGAATTCTGGTCGGCATCAAAGTCTCATCCTTGTGTTTGGTCCAGTAAGCAGTAACTTTTTTTTGTATGAAACAATTTTCATTGAAACCCACATTGTCAATGAGTTTATTACTCTAATTCTATGAAGAATATTTATCAGAATTTAATCCTATTCTAGGCTACATTAATACACAATTGTCCGTACCTGCTTTTTCGCGTAAAAACATTATTAATATATTTTAAGCAAAGGAATTGAGTGTTTTGCCACGAACTCAAATCTTCTGATCCCAATATCTTTGCAACCTAATGATGCAAATCTTTGATATTTCAGACTTAGATTATTTTATCTATAAGTATTAATAGTTTGAAATATCTAAGGTCTACGACATTGGGTTACAAAGATATAGAGAATAGAAAATCAAAGTTTGTGGCAAAAACTGAACTCCTTTTCTATTTGATTTTTTTCATCTTTCACACTCATTTAATTTTTACACATTTCAAATTTATTGCTTCAGAACTTCTTACACGATTACTCGCTCATGATTTCTGCCTTAATCAAATACAGGGGAAAAAAGTTCCCAACCGTGCTAATGTCTTAAAACTTTGCCTCTGCATTAAAAATTTAACCAAAAATTATAAAAAAAGTAAAAAGTTCAGAGCAAAAATTACCTACGCATGAAAAAGTTGTCTTTTAATAAATATTTTTTGAGTCAGTACCGGAGTAATCAAAGTCCCAATTTTAAGTTTCCAAATCATTAAAAATCTTTTCACCCCGCCCCCCTACCTTGCCTTCCCTCGAACAAAGGTATTCAATAATGTCAAGTTTTTTATTGTCTCCCTCTTCAGCACTCACTAATGTTCTTCTTTTATTAAGTTTAATCTGAATAGGTTTTTATTGTCAGCAACAGAAAACAGAAAACCTGTACTGTCAATGGTGTACTTGATTTTCTATAAAAGTACTGCCTTACAAAGTTATTTAAACTAGGAGTGGGGGGGGGCGTCCACTTATACTTCCTTTTGTGGACTTAGCCCCTCACCCCTTAGAAAGTTCATATTCCCCTTTTTACAGGTGAAGAAATTTTTAGAGTATCCTTCTTAAACAAATTTGTTGCCGAAAAACACACTAAAGTTTTAGAATATCATTTTAACCACGTTTCAATATTCTAAAATACTAAATATTTAAAAAGGTGGTAAATAATTGCCACGATAATTTATGAAAAAATTGTCATTTAATATTTTGAATTTTGGGGTTAAAAAATAAATATGATATTTTTCCAAGATAAGATGGATTTAAGAAGACTGGATGATCTAGGAGAAGATGATGATAGTTTGTACACAGACTCAATACTCAGGTATTTATCCATAATATGTCCCATGATATTCACAAGGGTAGATATTTTCATAGACGTTATTATCCCCCCTTATTACAGTGTAATTTTGTAATTCAGCTTTTGTAATATTTTAAACAAAATATATAAGGAGAGTAAGTTATATTCATTTGAATTAAATTGTTTTTGGTTGCTATTAACAGGTGCAATATATAATATCCTTTATTCATTTATCTTTATTCTCTAAAATAAAAAACTTTATGGGAGGATTTCAATCCATTAATGTTGAGATAGAGGAATATGATGCAATTCTATGTTTATTAGCAATATAAACCTATTTCTCAAATACCTCTAACTTCAATGTTTGTAAATATTATGGCCAAAAAATTTTTTTTAACACTTTCAATTTAGAAAAATATTGGCATGTTACACTGCTTTTTGTTTCGACACACCGTGTTTTCACATGTAGGGTTTAGGTGAGCTAAGAAAAGGTTTAAATCTCTTTAAATTGTTCAGGGAAGACGATTCAATTCCTCTAGCAGATGAAGATGCATCTGGAAGAGTTGATGATTCTATGACTGATAACATACCTGAGGATCTTAGAAAGGTGTTTAGACATGAAACTAAATTTTTAACTTAATTAATGTTTAGGATTTTTTAAACATTAATGTGGATCCAGAATCCAGATGACATGGATCTGCCAAAAAAAGAATCAATATTGAATTTCAATTTATTACCAGGTTTACTATGTATCCAGCCCCTTTTAGATTTGAGGACCGTTGTAGGGTCACAATAACTTGATTGAACATTTTTTACTTATTATACTTATTACTTATTATATTAAGGTTGTTTTTTAAATTTTCCACGTGTGTTATTTTGATATGTGGTATATATTTGTACATTTCAGGCAAATGAATGGCGTAAGAAGGTTGATTTTGAAAGCCTAGATTCCATACCATCAATGCTCTCAGACAGATCTGATGGGATAGGGGGACATATTTCGGATCACATGAACAGGTAACTTTAAACACTCTTACTTTCAAGGTGAATATGTTCAGGTTAAGTAAACAAGTAATTTTATGTCCCTTTTCCTATCAGAGAGAATATGCTCACATTGTTTTTAAACACTGATATGCCGAAGGAGATAATAATATATGAACAGTTAGCTTTCCGGCACATACTATATGTACAGCGGACAAATTTAGATTTTATGAACAGACGAAAAAGTAGCTTTGAATATATTTAGATTTGTTAGATTTAAAATCTGTCAGCTTAGTTTAGTATTAAATAATCAGAATTTGCTTTAATTTAGAGATAATACAAACAGGTGTAGAATAACTGACTTTAAAAATTATAATATTAATAATATTAACAGTCAACATTTACTCCTTATTGTGGCTTATGCTCCCTCCCATTAAAGGGAGTGACCGACTAATTGATTTATTGACTAATTTCTTTTGAGAAATATCTAATATCTAATTAGATTACTGTATAATTTTTACTTTATTTTTCGTTGTCGTTATTTAATAATCAAAAAAAAAACTAGAAAACGTATTTACCCCCAAAGTAGGAATTTTGAACGTCGAATTAGCGCTCAAACTCAGGATTTACAGATCTTTAAAAAGTTTTATATGTCTCAAATGAATCAGAAAGAAGTTTTCCACAACACTGCATATTCAGTTCGACTACCTTACATAACCGGTCACTCCCTTTAAGATTTCCAATTGAGTGCACATTTTACAATGCATCTGAATGACCTTAATTTATTTTAACAAACAAGATTTGTGAAAATCAACACTAATAATTAACTTCACAAAATTGTTAAACCCTTCACCAAAATATATTCTAAAACCTGATGTAGACATGGGTTTGATCAGTTGTAGAATTCTCTAGTCCTTACTTGTTATTCTTAAATTTCCTCATCTTTTCAAAGTTCATCTGAAATAAAACACAATAAGTTTTAACTAAAATTATTCAATGTCTGAAAAATGAATGAGCCGGACCCTAAGGCATCTTAGAAATTTTAGTTTTCCATTAATCAAAGTCTGATTTTCTCCTCCCAAAACATAGGTCCACCTATAAAATCAACTTTTCAAACTTCAGGAAGAACTCAAAAACACTCTTTGTCTATGTAAATACTGTTTGGAATTAGATTACTTTATTTTTTAAACTTTGAAGCTTTCATGAATTTTCAAAATTGAATTCAGTTAACAATAGATTTCATTACTCCATGCTTTGCCCTCAAAGATGATTAAAAGCAAAAACAAACAAACCATTTTTTCATTATTAAAAAAAATGGTTGGTTTGTCGTTTCCTTATATCTAGCATCAAAGTAAAATGTCGCATATTTAAATACAAACTTTTAAAATGAAAACTGTTGAAAATGGTTATGATTTAAAATCTTAATCAAGCCTCTCGACAGCTTAAAATCTTTACATGATCTAGGATGTGCCTGGACCCGGATTTTTCTCCAGATGAGCAGGAGGAGAAGGCAAGACTTATTTCTCAGGTTAATATTATTGAACACGATACTAGTTTTCTTCTTGGGGTATATATTTAAAAATTATAAACCCCCTCTGCAAGTAAGGAAAATGAAAAGGGATAAAAATAGAAAAAGTTTCCATTAACGTTCATTTTTATTCCCAAAAATTATAATATTTCAGTAATAATTACATGTCATCCTAACAATTTTCACAGAAAATGACCACAAAAAAATTGTTAACAAGTCACCGAATTCTGAATTTATGAAAGCTTGTTGAAAATTTACTTACCACATGAAACATAAGCATATTTTTTAGTGATAGTAGAAATAGATCTATTTTCAAAATCATGACTCCAGAATGGAAAATAAAGAGAGATTTAAAAGATGGAAATTTGTACTCTTGCTGAACAGTTATTCATCGTAAAAACGTCTTACAGGTCTCAAATTAATCCTAAAATATTTCACTACAAAAATGCATTCTCAGGCCAACTATTATGCTTAGCTGAGCACTCCCTTTAACTACTCTCTCTCATACCTAAACTCTGACCTTAGGTCCTAGAGCTCCAGAACACCCTGGAAGATCTTACCAGCAGGGTGGACAGGGTTAAGGAGGAGAACCTTAAACTTAAGTCGGAGAACACTGTCCTGGGACAATATATTGAGAATTTGATGCAGGTTAATTAGGAAATTTCCCCAGTCATTAAAAAAGCTAAAATCAAGTGATCTTTCATGCATAGATGATATTGCCTGATTTACAACAATACTCTTAAACCTTAATCTAATCAAAAGTGCGGAAAACACCGTCGTTTTTCTGACTCAAAGTGATTATTTTTGTGAGTTTCTCCGTTGTTTCTTGTAAATAAGAAATAAACGGTTCAAATAAACAAAACATGGATATCTAATTCACACTTAATCAGACAAAACTTTATTGGGTACCAAAGTACATTGCCATCTTTGTACTGAGGGTCACTTGAAATTACGCTTACAGTCCCTTTAGAAGCAGGCATAAGTGGTTGAGGGATTATGTTTTGTATAAACATTGATTTACAAGAAAAGTATTTAAAAATGGTGTAAATTAAACAATATTTTAAATTATTAAAAATGCGAAGATTTATATATTGAATAAAAGAAATAAACACCATTTTGCAAAAGCACAATTCAAAAGTCTGATTTGATGGTGAAGAAATAAAACAGGCTCGTAGACAGGGGGGGGGGCACCAGTCCTCTTGCCCCCCCCCCCTCCCCAGGATTAATGGTCAAAGAATAAAATCAGGTGTGATGGGTAAAAAAGTGAGTTTGCCCTCATCTTCAAAGGGGTGTTTTCTCCCTTAAAAAGTAGTAGAAAATTTTCTTGTGCCATTTATATTCAAATGTTAGCAAAGCATTTCCCTTTTATCTTTTTTCACCGATAGCGACTAAAGACAAATACACAGGATGGCAGACGTCCCATACCCCCCCCCCTCTATGTACTACTCGAGATAAAAAACTGGAAAATGTGTAAAATGTTTAGAGAGTAATACAGAACTTTACACTATACAGAGGAATGCATTCTAATTTATAGTCCTTGAATCGGGACTACAAAGGGAAGTATTCTCAGGAGACTATAGTCTACTCAGGACTTCAGAGAGTATTACAGAACTATAGAGAGGGATACATTACATTATATAGTCCTTTAATCAGGACTACAATGGGTTAAATAGGGGACATGTAGTATACTTAATATGGAATAGCAGCATTCTTAAGGCCAAGGGGGGGGGGGCAAAGCCTTCCCCTCCCCCGGCTAAAATCCTGTATACGCGCCTGAAATTCAAACATTCTCTGAAGTACAATATTTCAACCATTCTCTGAAGTGCAATATTAAAACAGTTGAGACAATCTTCAAACAAAAGTACGTCTGAAAACTTCGCATTTAAAACGAAGTTTATAAAACAAAAATTATTCTTTCATTTAAGTACATTATTATGCGGACATTATAATCAACGTCTACAGTATATACTAGAAGTAACTACTAACTATTGATTATTAACATTTCAATGTTTTACAGGCAAGTCAAGTTTTTCAAGCTGTGAGTCCAAAATCACGGAGGTAAGTGTTTTAAAATAAAATTTAATCAACTTTTTAACATTCATTAGTTTAAAATAAAATACAATCAACTTTTTAACATTCATTAGTTTAAAAATAAAATAGAATCAAATTGTCAACCTTGATTATTTTAGGAAGCATAGACCTCCAAGTGGCAATATAAGCAGCGTTATCAGATGCACTGCTAAAGCAGTCAGAGGAGCGGTTGTTGGAGAACAAAAACAGAGTTAAATCAAACTTAAAATATTTATCTCCATGTTTTTAAGCTTCCGCCTCCATTGATTTTCAACATGCCTCAAGTTTCTGTCTCTTTAAAGATATTCCGAGTGTCAGCTTTACTTTTTCCACACTTATGATTTGTTTAACAAGGCCCAATCTTAGAAAAGAGAATAACGATCCACAATTCCTCAAATTTCTATACGTTTAATGATAAATATATTTATAAATTAACAGAGATGAAATCTCCATTACACTTGATAAATTGGAAAAAAAACCTTTTACAAACTGATCTGTGTTGGCATGTAAAAACACTGACCAGATAAAATAAACTTTTAATGCCTATAGAATCCTTGCCTCTGCTCTGAAATATTTTCCAACCCTAAATCTAAAGTTCACTGCTTTTACAAATGTTTGACTTCATTGTATAAATATCGTGCATAATAAACTTTAGAAATTATATAACTATTGTTTTGTTGGAAGGATTATACATTCCAAAGAATGTAAACACAGACTTTGTCTTCAAGCTATCTGAGGAATATATTACCAGTAAAAAGGCATACAGATATCAATTAATCAATCTTCTGGATACATTTACAGCTCCAGCTTTCAGTCCATGTGTGTCTCAGACTTTGTCTTCAAGCTATCTGAGGAATATATTACCAGTAACAAGGCATACAGATATCAATTAATCAATCTTCTGGATACATTTACAGCTCCAGCTTTCAGTCCATGTGTGTCTCAGACTTTGTCTTCAAGCTATCTGAGGAATGCCAACATTCTATATTTCTCGCGAAAACCACATAGAAAAATTTTTCTTTGAAAATCTTTTCTGACTGGAATCCTTTTATCTCCGCTTTTACCTTTTAAGATTTCGTTGTTTCCGTCTTGATTTAAACTTTAATAAAATATTTGGTTTCCTTGTGGTGTCTAGACTTCTTTCTTTCCAAATAAATACACTTAGCAAAAATTGTAAAACAGAAAAAAAAACTTGATTCTTTCAGTTGCATACATATTCAAAAGATGGAGATCGAAACCAATTGGCATTTTCTTATGATGTTTTCGGATTCCATACAAAGGAGGAACGGTTCCATTTATTTATTCAGCAAGGTTTATATTCTGCTGAATATGACGTGGGTCCGGTGCTCCCTGAACACCAGACCCACGCCAGGTTGGATAATTGTTTTCGCTCTCACTGCTTTATCCTTTTAACTTTTCTGAATTTTAAAATTTTCCTGCATCATTCCAGTTTGTAAGACTAGATTTTACCTGTTGCGAGGTTTCTATTATTTATGAACAAAAAACGTTTACTCAACAAAATTTAATTATTCAAAAAGATTTCTGGTTTAAATTCAACTATTCGTTAAACCTGTATCTACTTTTTTCAGTATAAACGTAAAAATTCAGAACTATTTAAAGTGAGAGAAATCAAACAAAAGCTGCAAAACCTCAATTTAGTAACAATGTACTTCATGTAGTACATACAAAGCCAGGATAGTACTCTTAGGTTCTTGAAAAAATGTGGCACTAAAATACTAATACAGTGCATAGCCGGGAAAAAACAGTTTGTCGTTAATATTTGGGAATTCTTTGCCTTATAATTAAGTTCCAACATATTGCTACAGTACTTCAGTTAAAACAAAAATCAATGTTTAAATGTTTTGGTAGCTGTACGTCCTTGAACATTGATCTTTAATTGGATTTTTTTGCATGAAATAATCATAAAGTTCGAGATTAAACTAATCTAAAATAATAATTTAATAATTTTTTTTTAATTAAAAAAAAATCCGAAAAGATAATATTGTCAATTATTGCTTCAGCACTGAAAATTTACAAAAAAAACGTATTGTTTAAACTATGAGGTATACTTCGGGCAGCTTGAGATCTCCAAAACAGAAATCTTTTAATACCAAAATTATAACTTTTGAAACAGTTCTATCAAAAAAATCCACTCTTGGTTTGTATGTGTCCTAGTCGTAGAAATCGGACTCTCCTTTCCCCTTCTTGGGCATCGTGATCGTGAACGAGGGCTTCTTGCTGCTCGACTTCTTGTTAAAGAACAATGCCCTGAAAACCAATATAATGTTTTTCAAGGGTTCATGAAAAAATATTTGAGCGAGGGTGTGTTTAAAGAAAGAATTGGTAGAAAAAATGCAAGATTAGGCTTGATAGTAAAAAATCACTTAAAGAACCCCTAAACGTATTTTTAATTTCCTCAAAACATTTATCTTTCTTTTTTACAGAGAATTCTTTTTTCCAGGTCCATTGAAATGTTTCATAAAAAACAAATGTCAACAGTTTCTTGGGATTTGGGTCAGGATGTTATACCTGTGTATAGATTCTACATCAGGAGCGGGTCCTAGACCATCAGATTTAGATTTTCCTATGAGAGAAGGCGGCAGTTTAACGCCAGTTCCAGTACTTATTGGAGCACTAAAATATGAATGTTATATAAAATATAACGGATGTATCAGATGAATTATGAGAGAAAATAAAGGGTATACTATTTTCACAACTACGGCCCTGCCTTCCTTTCTGCCTTTCCTACACGTTTTCAAAGCGCTTATTCCAGCGAATGGTTACATTTTATCTTCCTTTCTACATTTCCCAATCATATTCAGCCATCTACACAATAATATTTTATGGCATAAGAGCTGAAAATTTTAGAATGAGATATCCTTAAACCCGATACCTTAATCTGAGTATCCAATGGACACACTTTTGATTTTCTTCTTAAACCGTTCTTTCTTGGATATAGTAGAGAAAAATCAAAAACCGGTTTTTCTAAATTAGAGAGTTCCTCCCATTTCTGTATATAATCTTAAATGGCGCGCAAAATTTAAAATTTATCGGCTTAATATACGCAACTCTGAATGGTTGAATTTTATAAACTTTTCAGGATACAAGTACAGGATTAGATTAGTCTCGATATGAAGAAAAAGAGATCACGCATTAATCTCGATATCTACTATTCTAAAGTTTTCAGCTAAGGTCAACGATTACCGCGAGTTATCATATCTGAAGAATAAAAATCGAGGGGGAGGCTAATAATATTCAAACTTATGGGATAATTTTCACCAAAATTACCAAATTCAGCCAGAAAATTAAAAAAATTAAGAAATTCGCGGATGATGGAAACAATTTTCAAAAATTATAGCTTAAATTTTATGTTTAATGTTAACACTTAAATTCTAATGCTAATGAATTAATTGATTAATGGATCTGGAAGGGGGGAAGGGAAACTTTAATCATTGTCTAGTGTTTGCTTCTACTCCTAGAATTAAGAAAACTATTCTACAAGGTTTAAAACTACCCATTAAAAATATGCCTTTCTGCACTTCAGAATGACTTTGTACTTCTTCAAGAGACTGTATGCGTAATTTCAAGGGACTCTCCATTCAAAGATGGTAATGCCCGATTCACAACAGCACATAAAGCATTAATAATAAATCACTGTTTACAGGAAAACATAAATGAATTAAAAACTTAACACACTTTTGAACCGAAAAAACCGACGATATCTTCAAAACTTTTGTTCAGATAAAGGGGCACGGTTGTAAATTTAGCATTTCCATCTCTGCATGGGGAGGGTCACTTGAAATTAAGCTTACAATCCCTTTATAAAGATCATGTAATACGTCACCAGTTGACTGAAGAAACTGGATAGGACTGAAGGGGGACCCGGGATATCCAATAGAATGTTCAAAACTGGATAGGACTGGAGGGGGACCCGGGATATCCAATAGAATGTTCAAAACTGGATAGGACTGGAGGGGAACCCGGGATATCCAATAGAAGGTTAAGTAAAAAACTGGATAGGACTGGAGGGGAACCCGGGATATCCAATAGAAGGTTAAAAACTGGATAGGACTGGAGGGGGACCCGGGGGGCCGGGATATTCAATAGAAGGTTAAAAACTGGATAGGACTGGAGGGGGACCCGGGATATTCAATAGAATGTTCAAAACTGGATAGGACTGGAGGGGGACCCGGGATATCCAATAATGTTCAAAACTGCATAGGACTGGAGGGGGACCCGGGATATCCAATAGAAGGTTGAAAAACTCTTGTCTTAAATCGTAAGCTGCAAGGTTACCAAAGGAGGTGAGACTTAAATGACGGTTTCGGTGTCGGTTTCGAAATTGCATTTTTTAGAGATTTTCTTAATGATTTTAAAAAGAAAAAAACAGTAAAAAGTTTCAGGGAACAAGAAAATGAAAGAGTGACCTAGTATATTGTAACTAAATACAAATCTATTTGAGGTTTGATCACAAAATGACGTAGATAAAAAAAAACTATTTCAAAGTAATCACTGAATTTTCTTGTTTTTTGAGACACCCTGTAAAAAATATGATTTACCTGCCGGCACCCATCAGTTGACATTTCATAGGTTTCCCGTCCAGCTGCCTATACAGTAGAAGATAGATAAATATCCAGAATATAATAAATTTATTAAATAGTTTAGATTTGTGGTAGATTTTCGTCTTTTCCCTGCCTTTCATGGTCATTTTCGTCTATGGCCTGCCTATTTTGGTTGATTTTTGTCTATGGCCTGTCTATTTTGGTTGATTTTCGTCTATGGCCTGCCAATTTTGCTAGATTTTCGTCTATGGCCTGCCTATTTTGCTTGATTTTCGTCTATTGCCTGACTTTTTTGCTTGATTTTCGTCTATGGCCAGCCTATTTTGCTTGATTTACGTCTATGACCAACCTATTATGGTAGATTTCCGTCTATGAACTACCTATTATAGAATATTCCCGTCCATGACCTACCTGTTATGGTAGATTTCCACCGCTTTAACTGCATGATTGTGATTTACAAATGTAACTTCTGCATGGCCAGGAGCAATTAACTGAACAAATTAACAATAAATTAATCAGAAATTAAACAGCAATTATTAAACAAACAGTAAGTATCTAAATAATGGGTCAATAAAAAACGTATTAAATCAATTAATCAATCAAACAAACAGAATAACCACTAGTTAAGAACTATTTAAAGTTTGACCACAAATGAAAGCAACTTATAGGGACTCCTACTTCCTTAATAAATTAAGGCTGGAGTAAGGGCTTCTGATTTGTAACGGATCTATAAAATAAGGAACCGAATTTTCCATTCTTATTAAGTTTATAGATGGACGCTTGACAACTCGTATTTTATAAATAGAACCGAATTTTCTCATCATTACTGACGACGTCCGACGTTATTGCAAATTAACCATCTTTAAAAAAAGTGAAAAAGGGTATTTAAAAAGGAGAAAATGCAATTGATATGTGCTAAAAGAATATCCGAATAAATGGTTAATTCATCTATAAATAACTAGGCGCTTCGCGCCCATCTTCTATTTTAACTTTTATATGTGGCCTAATATCTGTGAGCATCTTCTCTTTGTACAGTATAAAACAAAAACAAAAAAGTTTGCGGATTTCTTAATATTTTTTCGCGCATTTTCAAAATTTTTACAAAAATAAAAAACTTTTAAGAACATATTTTTTAAATTTTGCTCATTCATGAACCTTCCCTGGGGTCAAGTGAGGTCCCACACAAAATTTGGGCCCGATCGGTTCAACCGTTTTGACGTTTATTGGATACAAACAAACAAACAGACAAGCTGAATTTATAAATAAAATATAATGTACTCTGTCTGTTTATTTTAACTCAGGAACCCCTTAAAGGATTTGCCTAAGATCTGAAATGGGGGACTCGGTAAAACCACTGATATATTCTTAGCGATGTTTAAAGATTCTAGTGGGTTGAATTTTATAGCAGGTTAGCTTCCATGAAAAGCTGGGTTCCCAAGCTAGAAAATAAAACATTAAATAAATTAATACCTTGGCTCTCCTCAGAGGTCCGACATCTCCAAATAGTTCTACAATATCCTCCTGAGATACCCGCACATGTAGATTCTTGATTACAATCTTAGATCCCTGAACATAGTCTTGATTACAATATTAGATTCATAAATATGTTCTTGATTACAATCTTAGATCCCTAAATATATTCTTGATTACAATCTTAGAGTCATGAATATGTTCTTGATTACAATCTTAGATTTCTGAATATATTCCTGATTAAAATCTTAGATTTCTGAATATATTCTTGATTAAAATCTTAGATTTCTGAATTCTTGATTAAAATCTTAGATCCCTGAATCAGTGAATATATTCTTGATTACAATCTTGGATCCCTGAATATATTCTTGATTACAATCTTAGATTTCTGAATATATTCTTGATTACAATCTTAGATTTCTGAACATATTCTTGGTCACAATCTTAGATTCATTAATATACTCTTAATTACAATCTTAGATACCTAAAAATATTCTTGATTACAATTATCTTAGATAAGAGACTGTACTAGTGTACTACCCTGCTATCTAGACCTAGTGTACTTGGAGAGGAGAGACTGTACTACCCCAGTAACTAGTATACCTGGAGAGGAGAGACTGTACTACCCTAGTAACTAGTATACCTGGAGAGGAGAGACTGTACTACCCTAGTAACTAGTATACCTGGAGAGGAGAGACTGTACTACCCTGGTAACTAGTATACCTGGAGAGGAGAGACTGTACTACCCTAGTAACTAGTATACCTGGAGAGGGGAGACTGTACTGCCCTGCTCTAATCTTCCTCCAAGAGTAATTCCTTCATCGTAATCTATATTCTTGCTTCTTTGACGTAGCATCTCCTCGTCTCTACTCTCCCTAAAAATTGGTGAATTTTTTAAAATTAATTTAAGAAAAAATTACCAACCCGCGGTAATAATATGCGTTACCCTAAGCATAACCCGCGAAGAACTTTTTATTTTAAACCCCTTTTTACCAATATATGGATACAGCGCCTGAACTCGGTATTCTTTGAATTAAACAAAAGCTCACGCACATTTTCGAGATATCTCAGTGGCGTCTGGTTGGGCAATATGGGCAATATTTTTAAATATATCAATGAGAATTAAGTTAATCTACAAAAAATACGGATTAGTGCTATCCGAAGAGATTACACGTGCAAAAGTTCCAAAATTATTTTTTAAAGTTTGAGAAAATGTACCTCGGCTCATCATAATCGAATCTTCCTCGACCACGTCGCGGCGGACTTTCTTCCCGTCGTCGCCAATCTTCCTTCCCGCCTAATCTCAGAGGAGAGCGGGACCGGTGAGGGGAGCGAGATCTTAACGGGGAGCGGGATCGTAACGGGGAGCGGGATCGTAGTGGAGAGCGGGATCGTGCACTGAGAGGGGAACGAGATCTGTTAGAGCTAAAATAATAAAATATAAATCATTATTTTTAAAAGGTAATGAAGGGGGAATGAAATTTGATTTCTGTGCGTTTGTGTTTATGTTATTTTGTCTCCAAGGACCCTATCTATGGGTATAATAGGAAAATACAGATTGTTTTATGATAACAATAAAACTATATTCGTAACAGTTTTTAAAGCTGCCTTTTTTTGATTTTTTTTCTATGAATCTTTTCATTCCCTCTGTAGATTTTTAAAGTTTTTAATATTTTTGTCCTTTGCATTCTTTTTAAACTTTTGTCATGGTATTTTTTTGCCTTTTCATTTTTTGGTTTTTTTTTATTTTTTGTCCGTAAGATTTGTTTTGTTACACAAAAATTAGTCAAAAAAGTTTTTCACATCAAATATAATATGCAAATCAAAATTCTTACTCAGTGTGATAAATATTTAATATTTATCCAGTTTACATTTAAACCGTTTTCTGATCAGTCCTTGATATTGACAAGCAAAGTGTTCTATTTAAAGACAAAACTTTGACTGAAAAAGTTATTTCTTTTATCTGATTTTGATTTTCAAATTATAAAAATAGAGAAACACATTTCTGAGTCGATATGTCCTTTGAAGAAAATAAGCTGTTACCTTCTGTCAGTTAGTTTTGAATTTCTGTAATCCCGAATTCTAATTATGTCCTCTTTGCTAACATTGGCCGACATCAGTTCCTCTAAACATTATAATAAAGGGATTTATTTATNGTGGGAATAATGTACAACTCTGCTCCTCAAGCTTACCGTCGAGTCTCTCCTGTTCAGTCATCCTACCTCTGCCTCCGTGTGAAACCTGGAGTAAAATAAATAAAATCATCACATCAAAAGTTCAAAATTAATTAGAAATACCATATCCACCAAAAACATGAAAAAAAGACTTTAAACGAGAAAAACATTTTTTGCATATTTTTCGCGATTTTCTCTCAGTACGTTCAAAATTGATGTAGCAAAAATAAATTTCATCCTGCAATAACTTTGGAAAAAATTCTCAAATATACCAACTACATTTAATACAGTGGTATAGAGATTGGTACTTTTGTATGAAATGCCGCTGATCAGGTTTAGGATTAGGTATTCAAAGTGGACACTAAAATTTAGTAAGTGTTAAATCCATGGAAAACAGTTGAAAATAAAATCTCCATTTAAATATCCAGAGAGAATTATCTGTCGGAACACAAAAGATACGAATAATTGCTTTCTGAAGGAATTAACAATAGAAAACTTTTACCTTCCATAAAAAATATAAACTATACCTGGTTTTCTCTGGATTGTGCTGATCCCCTGGATCCATTAGACTTGGATCTCATTCCACCACCTGAATGATAAAGGATTTACAATCAATTTGCCCCCCCCCCCCCTTGAACCAAGCAATTTTTATTCACAAACAGTATCATTTTAGAAGTAGAATTGATCAAATGTAATAAAAATATGGTTTTTATCGAAAATCTTAAATCAGTTGATTTTTTAAAAATATTTTAACTCACTAGAAGAAAAGTGTTGGTTTTAAAGTAATTTGGAAGGGGTGCTTCGTGTACTTATAATTATACATTTTATAAAGTAGAAATCTCTATTTGTCTGTCCGTTTTTTTGCATGTCCGATCTTGACTCATGATCCCCATGACTCATTTGCCTCAAATTTTGATTGGGAAACAAGAACCACGAAAAGTTTGGTTTGAAATATCGGTTAGATCTCTAGAGACAGCTGGGTTCCAAATCTACTACTCAAAAAAAGGGGTGTATATTTATAAGAATGATTAAAAATTACACATGACACGGTAAGTTTTTGTTTCCTTTTACATACTTTTTGCCAAAAAAATTATTGTCTTCCCCTAAATATCCTTTTTTCCTACATTTCAGCGGGGAAAAAAAACTAAAAATTTGTTTCTTTAAGATTCTGGGAAAAAATTGTTTTCAGGAGGAATGATTTTTCAGGAAAATTAACACCCTTGTCGCAAATACCTGATTGTGAGTTTGAAGATGAAAGGCTGACCTTCCCTGACCCCGTCACAGTTTTCATAAACTGACCGACCTGGCGAACCTGCTTAGCTTCATCTACCTGAGATGCAAACTTATAAATGCAGTTGAACTTGAACTAAAAAGGAGTTCGAATTCTGCAAATTTGAAGGACAATTTTGTGAATTGATCATACCACCCTTACAGGGTCACTTAAGTAGCTTAGAAAGAATTGTCATAAGAAAAGAATTTAAACATTTATTGGTAAATTTTTCTATCTATCTATTATGAGGCGGAGTTTGATTCTTTTCAAAACTTCTTTCATACCTTTGGTGCCTTGTTTTTGTTTTTGTTTGTGGTCAGCAGAATTTTCCCATCAAACTTCTTCGTCATTGTAATATTGCTGCCTGAAAATAAATTCATTAAAATAACATATTTTACGTCTTTTTATCGAACCACTTTTATGAGAGAAATACAGAGTGAACCAGAAAAATGACAATTGTGCAGAATTTTTCATTTTTTTCTTCAGATTCTTACATTTTTGGTTACTTATAAGTTACAACTGAGAACGGTTTTTACTTTCTTTGTCAACCTAACCAAACAGGGACTTCATTCAAGGTAAACGAACCATGTCATTCTCAATAGATTAAAGTTTAATATCGTATTTAAGTCGCATTTTTTCTGGGTAACCCTGTTTATAAGAGATACGAAACTTTTAGGTTGGCATTTCGGGCTGTTCTCAGATCAAGTAGCCAACTTAATCCATTGGAATCAAAACCCTATTCACCGTCAACTAGTGTAGCTCGGCGTAAGCGGCTACAATTGCAGTCCACCAACCTCAAGTAACTTTACACTTTTTCTAATTCCCGCAAATTTAATTTACAAAGATAAAATAATTTACCTAAAGTTTTCACTTCCATTTTCCCTTCTTTCCTGTCCTTTAACTTGAGCAACTTCTGACGAGCGTCCGTCTGTTTGGCCAACAGGCCCAGCTTATCCCTGATAAACAAGTATCATGAATAAGTTTTAAAATATGCTATTCATATATGCTCGAGACAAACATATATAATATATTTTATTTAATTTGAACTTGAAGGGGCTGTTAGCGTAATTTTAATAATCCTCCGTGCAAAGTTTGAAATAGAGAATAGAATTTCTCCAATAGCCACAGCACAAATCACAGCAGGAATTAGGTCGTTGCAATTAATCTCCTGTTCTCTCTGAACCTCAGGTCTTCTACTAATCTATTGTTTAGATGGGATTGAATCGTTTACCAATCAACTGTTATCTCTGTACCTAGGATCTTCTACTAATCTATTGCACAACAGGGATGAGATTGTTACCTAATCTCCTGTTCTCTTGTCGAAAAGGCATTTAAATATGATATTCTGAAAACTTGCAGAACGTTGTACGTCATAAATGATTTAATGTTTTAAACTTAATGAGATTATTCATTGAAACTGGGTTTCAATTGAATACTTAACATGATTAGCTCAAATCATGCAACATACAGAGCGTCCCACATCATATTAGATTATCTTCAATCTTTAACGCCAAAATACGCACATAATACTCAAAAAAGTTTAATTATAGCCTTCTTAAATTTTCAAAATGATTCATTCTTCGTAAATTCTGATTTGTCTGTCTGGATAATTGGCAATTCATTGAATATAGCTTAAGAGATAGCTTGGGTACTAGTTGAATTATATAAGTTGAGATTTGGACTGTGTGTCCTTCAGAACCGGGGAGTTAAGTCTGGTTGAGAAATTGCCTGTTTAGCAATTTCAATAGCCACTGTGGCTCTTTTAAACCTGGTTTAAATTTGAGACTGTGTGTCCTTTGGAACCAGAGAGTTGAGCCTGGTTGAAATATTGCCCTTGTGGCATTCAGAAACGAAGAGTTAGTCCTGGTTGATCTTGGTAACGAGTAGACCTGGATAGATATGTCTCGAGTGAACCTGTTATGGAGTAGGTATTTGCTACACTCTCTGTATCTCAGGTCTTCAACTAATCTATTGTTCAGCAGGGATTAAATCGTTTACTAATCACCTGTTCTCTCTTTGGGGTCTTCTACAAATCTATTGCTCAACATTATCTTCCGCATTTTCAATCAGTTTCAAGTTTAAAAGGTACCGTTGTAAATCGCACGTTTTCACCTTTGCATTGAGGTTACTTAAAATTACGCTTACAGTTTCTTTCAGATTAAACTTAATAATATAATTTATTTCATTAAATATTCAAGTCCCCCCCCCTCCCCCCAAACAAAAGGTTGGCGGGGGGAAATTTCAAGACAACATTAGGATAATATTGGACCCTTCTAAAACATGGTCTGTGGTGGCCAAGAATATATTACCTTGCATCAATGGTTTTACTCCGGCTGGCCTGGATGATCTTAAGACGAGCATCTCCCTGCACTTTAGCAACACCTCCTCCTTTAATTCCACCACCTCCTACTCCTAGTGGGTCTAAAAATCGTTCACTAGGACAAACCTACCTTAAAAATATTTTCAACCTATGTCCATGACCTAAGACGATGGTTCAGTCCCAGTTTAAGGCTCTTCCATGATGGAGAACCCTTTATATATTGGTCGCCACTCTCAACAAAATTTAGCTCCAGAGTTTAATACAGAGCGTCCCATATCATAATTGACTATATCCAATCTTTAACCCCAAAATACGCACAAAATACTCAAAAATTCTAGCATTTTCTGCAAAAAATAATTTCTATTAGCCTTATTAACTTTTTCAAAATGATTAATTCTTCTTAAATTTTCCGATTTGTCCCCCAAATCGTAATTTATCCCCATTGACTAATTTGATGTGGGACACCCTGTATAATAAAATATTTGTGCATAACACCTGCCCCGGATTTAAATATTTAGTCAAGTTGGGCGATTCCCTTATTTATTAAATTTACTTACCCTTTTATTGCCCGCGCCATGCTAAAGTAAGAAGATTATAATTAGAAATATTCTGAAATATTAAAAATACTTGCTTTAATAATAATTAATAATAATTTTCTAGCTATATTTCTACGATTTCACGATCATAAGATACTTAGAAAATTGATGTACGAGTAAACTAATCATAAATAAATGCATAAATTGTATTTTAAAATATGATTGATGTATCTATTATCACTTATTTTCTACTTTTCTAAACACTTGCTTCTTGCTTCTTGAAACGAAACGGTTTGTAAATTCTAAAGTGTACAGTGTAGTGTGTACACAAAATTGGTCACTGGTATGAAGACGACTTTGAACTCTTGAAAAGTTGTTCGAAACTTGACAAAACTATTTTTATTGTATTTATATCTATTATTTTCACGATGTAGTTAAATTTTAAAAAGCTAATTATAATTTAAAAAAAGAAACAATATAACAGAAAACCATTTTAGAAAATTAAGGAAATTTTTTAAAATAAAAAAAAGTGGGGCAAAATTTACAACTTTGCGGCATTGCGCTCAAAATAAATTTTATAAACAAGGCTTTAACAATTTTACTGATAAGTTAAACTAAAACCACAAAACCTTTACAGTTATACAAATTATGTAGGTTATCTTTCACAAAACGTACTTTAAGTTATACAGAATTTTTTTTTTTTTTGTGAGTTGACAACAATTTGTTTATATAATATCGCTTTATTATCCAGTTTTCTAGAATTTAAGGTTAGGTTTGAATTTATCAAGTTACAGGTTGAAAATGTGACTGAAAGATGAACCTTTGAACAGTGTTCTGTGGTACCTAAGAAAGGCGTTACATAGAGTTATATTACATAATGCTGAGAAGGTAATTTTAAGAATCGGCGCCCCGGCCCCTCCCCCCTTCATGAGTTTTATTACGATTACGGTTAATCTCCAAAAAAGGCTTTAATGGTGAAAACAAGTAACATTAGCGATCAATCACTAGGGGTAGCGTTTCAAATAGAGTAACTTTCTACCTTTATGACACGGCACAATTTTAGAGAAAGATTTTTGGGAAGGTCAAGGGGGCCGAACTTTGCGATTAGGACAGCATTGGCGACCGAGCGCCATGGTTAAGTTAAGCTAGGGGGCCGGACGCTGTGGCTGAAGGCTTCATGTTCAAACCTCATTTTTTTTAATGAAGGGGGGGGGGCATGCGGGTTTTAAAAATCTTCCTCTTAAAAATTACCTATTAAAGAAAACTAGAATTGTTAACGACTTTCCTTAAAGATAAATCTTTAAGCCTTTTAATGACTTGTTACCCCCCCCCCCTATTTGCAAGGAATTAATCCGAATTTAAACCGTCCTGATTTATTTAGACAAGGCAGCGATGAAAAGAATCTGATAAACGAGGATCATGAGAGACCGGAGGACCGAGATCAAGTTAATCATCATCCGGAACCTGACCGACCTTCATCCAGCCTCCCTAGTATCCAGGTCTCCCACATCTCTGATAAGTATGACGGGATTGGGACGAATCCTCCGGAGACTGGAAGACGCAGGGATTCTCATAGGTTAGTCTCCGATCTGATGAACGAGTATTCAACGTTTTCTGAAATATTGCCGCCTCCTACACATCCCGAAATCTCCAGGTGGAAAATTTAGTATCAAGAATGAGGGGAGGGGATGAAAGAGATTCTATGAAATATATACCCCTGTAAAAAATATTATTTTTAAAATATACCGCAGCATTTTTTTTAAGTTTATCAATCTCCAGGGTGGCCAAAATGTACGGATTGTACGGATTGGTTTTTTTTTAACCCTAAAATTGTACGGATTGTACGGATTTGTTAACAAATTGTACGGATTGTACGGATTTTTATCCTGGAAAATACACCGTTTTTTTTAAATTTTCTCTCATTTCAGCAAATTTTTCATGAAAATTAAAAAAAAATTCTCGTTAAAATGAAGTTAGTTTAACTTATTTTCTGCATTCTAAATAATATTAGATTGATTAATGTTTCAATTGACATTAAAAATTCATTCATAATTTTCGAGATATGTCCAAGAAGTGTTTATTTGAGAATATGTTCCATAAGTACTTATTTGATTGCTTATTCAAGATGTTCCAGTATCCTGTACCCAGTATCCTGTACCCAGTAGCATGTACCCAGTATCATGTACCCAGTATCATGTACCCAGTATCATGTACCCAGTATCATGTACCCAGTATCATGTACCCAGAATTATGTACCCAGTATCATGTACCCAGTATCCAGTATCCAGTATCCAGTATCCTGTATCCAGTATCCTGTATCCAGTATCCAGAATCCTGTATCCTGTATTAAGTTCAATATCCTGTATTCTGTATCCAGTATTCATTCAATATCCTGTATCATGTACCCTGTATCCTGTATCCTGTTTCCAGTATCCTGTATCCTGTATCATGTATCCGGTATCCTGTATCCAGTATCCTGTATCCTGTATCCTGCATCCAGTATCCTGCATCCAGTATCCTGTATCCAGTTTCCAGTATCCAGTATCCAGTATCCAGTATCCAGTATCCAGTATTCTGTATCATGTACCCAGTATCCTGTATCATGTATCATGTATCCAGTATCCTGTATCCAGTATCCTGTATCCTGTATCATGTACCCTGTATCATGTATCCAGTATCCAGTATCATGCACCTAGTATCATGTACCCAGTATTTAGTTTGTATATATGTATGAAGCCAATATTTTATGATTCTTGCTGAAGAAGTTTAAACCCTCTTACATGAACTGAGCCCGCGATTTAAAAAATTCGGAGAATTACGACTCGGGTCTAAGCTGTCGTTGGACCTTATTTACGGCTTGAGCTTTCGGATTAAAGCTGCATCTAATTTTCCACAGAGTTGAATTAAAAAAACCGAGATGGAATTTAAAGAATTTGAGCCGCGGTTTAAATCCGCCAAAACCCGGTTTAAATTTAGCGCCGGCTTAAATCTTGAAATATTTGATACAATTTTAAGTGGAACCAACCATATTTAAACCGCGGCTTAAATTTAAACCGCCGCTCAAATTCTTTAAATTCGGCCACCGGTTTAATATTCTATTTGGCGGATTTTCATGGTAGGAATTGGCGAATTCCCAGTTTTTATTAGAACAAGGCGCAACATTGAGCCTTATTCTCCACTAAAACCAACCAAGGTCGGTTTTAATTTCATTGGGCCTAACTCCTTAAGTCGAGCCGAAGATCTTGCAGCTGTCAATCACGTGACACAAGCTGTCGTTAGAGTTGGGTCTAAGATTGGGTCTTAAAGTCGGGTTTAAGGAATTACGACTCGAGCCGAAGCTTTTAAATCGCGGGCTCTGAACATAAAGGACAATGAATGAAAAATTGAATTTTAATGTGTTTTTTTTTCAAAAATGGGATTTTTTTCAAAAATTGTACTGATTGTACAGATTTTTAAAAAAAATGTACGGATTGTACGGATTTTTTTTTCGAAAATTGTACGGATTTCTTCTGAAAATGTACGGATTTTTGTACGGATTTGTTCAAAAAAGTTTTGGCCACCCTGAATCTCGACAAAGTTCTATATTTTTACATGTGATTGTGTAGTTAGCTCATGTTGGGAAATTCTGAAATTTTCGAAATTTCGTAAATTGTAACTGGGGATTGGTGAGACTCTATGCAAACTCAAAACGGTAGAGATATATAAATATTAAGAATCGAGTAAGGGTAAAAAAAAGCAAGTAGAAAGATAAACTTACCTCGATTTGGAGAAGACAAAATATACAGTGAAACCCAGTTTTATGAATACATAGCAAGAGTTTTATATAATGTCGTATTACATATTTAAGATTAAATGCCGCGGAAAAATGAGTTAAATATTAATATATTAATTGCATTCATATTTGAGGGCTATTAATTTACCTTGAATTAAAAATAAAAAGAAGTTACTTTAAAATTATCAAAAAACTTTTTACGGTCTAGGTATTCATATATCTGGGATTCACTGTAGAAAAACTATGTTTAAGGACGCCATCTGTTGGTGATTTACCGAACCGTGCTGGAAACACAGGGAGAAGTGGGAATGACGAGGGAACCTACAAGGTAGAGTTAATTAAATATATTTTAAAATTACGTTTAACGCAAAGACAAGCAAAATAATGACGATTTGTCACAATTGTCTCTCAGATTAGTTAGTTTAAATCTGAATCTTAAAACACAGCGCTCAAATATTGATTTACAAAAGTTTTAAGTTAGGCAAGATCTAATTAAGAAATATGTTAAAAGTAAAAGACAAAAATTTACCCAAATTTTCTTATTTTAAATCAAAAGTAAAAATTGAAAAATATATTTTTTTTTCAACTTATTTATTTTTTTAAATTTAAATTTTAACAAAATTCTTTAAATAATTAGATGATACCAGCTGCAAATATTTGGACATATTTTTTTTCTAGATCTCCATTTAACTTCTTGTTGTTCGTCCAATTATCAATTTATTTAAATTGGAAAACAAATTTGTTGATCAGGAGCTATTAACACCAGGAGAACCTCCAACAGAGTCCTTATCGAAACATTCTTGGGAAATTAATTACAGGTCAGCTGATCAATTAGATAATACTAAACATGAATCATTAGCAGGTCATCAAACAGAAATAAAAGAGTTAAAGGCCAAAGTTGAATATAGATTACAAAGGTGATCAAACATAAATCAATCTAAGGGTATTCAAACATGAATCAATTATAGCCCATAGGTGATCCAACATTAAATAGTTAAGGTTATCAAACATAAATCAATTACAATGTTTTAAATCCGCATTTCAAGTTTCGGCAATTAATTGTTCCAATTATTTAGGGAGGCTGCAATTTTTTTGGATGAAGGAAGAAATAATGATAAATTTTTGCATCATCCAAGGTAAATTATGTACGAAATGTTTTATTTTTCAAGAATCGCTAAAAACCCATTAAATATGAATAGAAAGTAAAGATTATTACATAATTTTCTTTTAGGAATATGGAAGCATTGCCTGCCTATCTTCTTGTGCACAGTCGTTGGTTCAATACATTCGACTTCATGGCTTCCATAATTATTCTAGCTTTAGGTCAAATTTTATTTGGTCATAAATAAGTGTAGCTTTTTTATTTTTTTCTAAACGCGTAGCTTTCTAGTTTCTGTTTCTGTTTAACCTTGCTTTTTTGCGCAACTTTCAAGTTTTTGTTCCTTATAATGTAGCTTTCTGTTTTTTTTCTTATAAATAGCATTTTACTCTTTGATCTTAATGCGTAGCTTTATAGTTTTTTTCTTTATGCGTAGCTTTCAAAGATATGCCTAACTTAAAATTTTTTATTACTTGATTCTTTATGCAGAGCTTTCTAGTTTTTGTTTCTAAATGTGAAGCTTTCTACTTTTTGTTCTAAATGCGTAGTTTTCAACTTCTTTGTTTCTTTATGTGTAGCTTTCTACTTCTTTGTCTTTTTTAGTTTTTGTTAATTATGATAAGCTTTCATGTTTTTGTCGATCTTTATGCGTATCTTTTTAGTTTTTGTTAATCATGCATAGCTTTCCTATTCTTGCTACTTTAGCTCTGTAGTTCTCGTTAATATGGGTATTTTTTTAGCGTTTGGTTTTTTTTCTAATATTTCTTGTATTTTAGGGTTGTTCGAAGCTCCCTGTATTCCTGCATTAGAGGTTCCAGTTCCAATCCATGGATCTATAGAACTTTGTTCACTAGGTTTTCAGTTATCCTAAAAATTCAATCATTTAATTACTCAGTCTATTAATTATATTTATAATACATTCATCATTCAATCAATAAATTAACGACCTTGGATAATTGATTTTATTTAGTATTATTGTCTATTCAGATGCTTTTAAAAACAAGATGGATCGGTTTTAGGTAACTTTACTTAAATTGAATGACCGGCTATGTAAGATATTTGAACTGAGTATACAGTGTTGTGGAAAACTTCTTTCGGATTCATTTGAGACACATTTAACTTTTTAAAGATCTGTAAATCCTGAGTTTGAGTTTTGAACGTCGAATTAGCGCTCAAACTCGGGATTTACAGATCTTTAAAAAGTTTTATATCTCTTAAATGAATCCGAAAGAAGTTTTCCACAAAACTTTATACTCAGTTCAACTACTTTATAGAGCCGGTCACACCCTCAAGGGACTCTAGTTGGTCAGATTCACAACGGTACCCCTTAAACAGTTATTTGAGTAACAATAAGGAAGATACAGTCATTTTTACTTTATTGAAAAGTGATTAATTCTGACAATTCCCTTCAGGATATCTGCAGTATAAATGGGGTTTGATTGGACATGGTAATCACTTAAAAATAAATCCATTATCAATTATATTTTTTCTAATATCGGATATTTTGTGTTTAGATCCTGTTTGCAGCACAAGCGAACCATTATCAAAATATTAAGCTTAATTATCATGACGATAGAGGCAGCTGTAGTGCTTGTTCGACAGAGGAATCATTTTAGAATAACACGTGCACTTCGTCCACTCTTCTTACTAGGTCAAATGAGGGTGGAAAGGGGGGTTCCTTTTTTATTTCATAATTTTTATCAGTATTCTTGAAGAAAATTAATTATTAGTTAAAATTTGAATTTTACCGGTAAAACTTGACTTAATCTTCCCGGCAATGAAAAGAGTTAAAAAAAACTAACATATTTAAGAAGTTGCCAAAAAAATTGGGGGTAAACTGTTTGAAGTTGTATGGGGGTGATTTAAGATTATAAAATTAGTTAAAATAAAATATTTCAGATTCTAGTTTTTGCGGAGGAGTAAGAAGATTTATTCGACAAATCCTTCAATCCCTTCCTCCAATCCTTGATATCATGGGACTTCTACTCTTCATCATGCTAATTTACAGTGTATTAGGTAGTGTATTGATTAATCTCTAATCATTGATTTCATGGGATTTCTACTCTGTATCATGCTCATTTACAGTGTATTAGGTAGTGTATTGATTAATCTCCAATCCTTGATATCATGGGACTTCTTCTCTTGGAGAAAGAAACACGAACACTGGTTAGCAAAATTCAACTAACCCATCGTGTTCTGAAAGATAAAACTCATTTAGACAATGATTTTTCGAGGCTTAGGCTAGACATCATTAGGCTTTGGCGAGACAATATATAGATTTTGGCTAAATAATATTATATATATGTTAAATTATAAAACATTTTAACCATGACTCAGGTTCTGCATTATAAAACAAAATCAGGTTATTCTTTATAAAAATTGGCCTTTTAATAGTTATACATTAAAAATCTCAATTAATTATATAGATTTGAACACGTGATTAAATGTAGAAAACTGTGCATGTAGAGTTCCGTGTGATTGATCGATTGTTTGAAGATAATTCCTGGTTGAACACACTGAATAACATCTTGTCGCTGAACACCCTGAACACACATTAGTTTATAAAGATCCTCAGATCTTACAATAGTGGATTAGATAGTGCATTGAATTATCTTACAAGCCGTGGGAGAGGGGGCATTTTGTGCACTCCCGTACAAAAGTATTTAGTATTGACATGTAATGCATGTCAATCGCCCCTGAATAGTTTTTGAAAAAAAAAAAAAAATGTCATTCAACGTTTTAACAACATCGATTATAACAATTAAAATTGTGATTATTTGTGTAAGGTTTCTATCTGTTTGGACCATCCGATACTGAGCCTGGATCCTTATACTTCAACACCTTTACCACCAGCTTCATCAACCTGTTCGTCCTCCTCACCACAGCAAACTATCCTGACGTAATGATGCCAAGCTACGCAAACAACAAGTTTGCAGCCATTTTCTTCATTTCATATCTAGGTAAAAATTTTAGGTTGCAATTTTGATGATACCCTCCCCTTCTCTCTTAAATGTTAGTTCTGTTTTGGCCGTCCAAGAGCTTTTATATGGCAAGTAAATGAATTTTTGAAGAATAAATACAAGAAAAATTTATATTTTGATTAATGGGATATGTTGAATGAAATCCAGAACGAGTTCGCGTGTATCACTGCCTTTTTGCCCTTTTTTGTAATAAGATAAACCCAATTTGATCTTCGAAGGAAAAGACCCCAATCTCTCTTGAAGTTTTAAGAAATTGGTTAATATACTAGTGAAAAAAGAGCAAGTTTAATTCATTTTGCGCATTCAAAAGTCATAAACTCTTTCAAAAAGTTCTAATTAGTACAAAGTATCCATTACTATTCTTGTATTTCAGACCTATCCCTTGATTAGAATAATAATATATCTTAGGGATCACCCTGTATTGTAGCAATGCTGTATTTCAGAGATAACACTTTTTTAATCCTGTATTTTAACCATAGAACTGTATTTTAACAATCCCATATTTCAGGGATCATACTTATTTAGTGATCCTGTATTTCAACCATACGCCTGTATTTAAACATTATAGTATTTCAGTGATCTCCCTGTACTTTAGCAATTGCCCTGTATTCTAGTGATTATCCTATACTTTAATAATCCTGTATTTCAGCGATCACCCTGATTGTCTTGTATTCTAGTGATCACCCTATATTTTAATAATCCTGTATTTCAGCTATCACCCTGTATGATAGCGATCGCCTTGTAATCTAGGTATCATTCTATATTTTAATAATCCTGTATTTCAGTGATCACCCTGTATGATGGTGATCACCCTGTATTCTAGTGTATTTAAATAATCTTGTATTTTAACGATCGTCTTTTATTTTAGTGATCTCCCTACATTTAAATTAAAATAAACTTTTATTTCAGGGATCACCCTGTATGATAGCAACTGCCCTGTATTCTAGTGATCACCCTATATTTTAATAATCCTGTATTTCAGCGATCACGCTGTATTTCCTGATGAACCTGATGCTTGCTGTTGTATACGATGCATTTACAAATATTGAAATCGGCAAGTTCAAGAAACTGTTTCTTCATAAACGAAAGGTTTGAACAATCTTATTTTCAGTGTAAAATCAAATTTAGTTTTTTTTGTTGCTGATAATTTCTTTCCTCTATTATAGCTCTTTTTTTCTTCCTAATACATGTTTGAATACATGTGGTTGATACCAAGGACTTTAAGGAAATTCAAAGTGTATAGCCAAACTAGAATGGTGTGATGTATGGGTACTAAATGAAACAGACCTGGGATGGTATTAATCCACAAGGGGGACAGACAGGTTGCTATCTCCATACTCTTTGCTGCTGAAGTCCTGATGGACCATTCAAGGCATTGAGTTATGACCCCTATTCCCTAATCAAGCAAGTAATGATTGTGATCAAGGAAGATGGACTTGATAGATGACTTAACAAGGCACCTATGGAAATTATATGAAAAGTATTTCTGGCAAATTGCAGTATTTTTAATGCACCAGGGCATTACTATGAAAGTTTATTTCGTCCCAAGGCATGTTTCTATTAAATGCAGATATAAACTGGTGTGTTGGAGTCTTCGCTAGGGTCACAGCATTTTCAAAATCAGGTCTTGTTTTACAGGATAAACATTAAGCAAGGCACTGTGACTAGGAAAAAGGTTGTTGTAAACAACAAGGTTCTAAGTGAAAGTGCTCATTCAGTGAGGGCCCAAGATACCTAGTCTTTTTGTGAAAAAGTGGTTGCTTATTCAGGTACTCTAGATAGTATCCTAGCTAATCTTGAATGGAAGTTAGATAAGAAATTCCCTAGGTTTCAGGAGGTCCTTTGTGCAAGCAGCTGTGATAGTGAAATTGAAGATGGGTTAAGGATCAAATTCAGAGATAAGATGCTAGATAGGCAGAGGAGAAAGAGAGGAAAGCATAGAAGCTTGATCAAGATTAATACTGAAAAGTCAGGAAGGGTGAGAACTAAGAATGAAGAATAAATGGAACTGGTAGGAGTGGATTGTGCCTTAAACCAATCCCTCTGAGCATGCTAGTGAGGGGTGCACTACAGTTTTTATAGCTGTAATCAAAGATCTAGTGTCCAAGGCTAAGGAATTGAGTGCCAGATGCAGATAATAAGTCATGCATGCTCCATACACATACATGCAGGCACCCTGACACTTGAGCCCCTCACAGACTTCTTCAATGCCATGTTGAAGCTGGGAAGGACCCAAGGTTAAACCAACAGCATGTCTCCAGTGAAATATTAAACCTGTTAACTAAGAATGTATTCCAGGATGGATCCAATCTGTGAAAGGGAAGTGTACTTCAGCCCTGTCTACTATGCCTTTAGAGCTTGACAATCATCTTGAGAGTTTACACTGCATGCTGAGTTAGGGAGGGCTGAGGCCAAGAAATAATATTTTTACCACCTTCTGTTGCATTGCTAAGGCTTAAGACTCAATAAACGAGGAGGGAACTATAGTAACTGTCCTGCACTTTTGCTGATGAATTTGTGATGATCAAATGACTAGAATCAGAGGTATAAATAAACTTCTTTAAACAATGCACCAGCTCTGTTCTGACCTGAAAATGAAATTGGCAGTTGAAAAGAAAGGGTTTTTTTAGCTTTTGGGCCAAGCAGCGCTCTCAGGGAAGTCTTATCAAGATTATCCTAGCTTGAAGGCGTCTTTGGTTGCCAAGTATTTAGGAGTTGACCCTTCTGTCAAGAGTTATAATCTTGTGAAGCTTCTAAAGCCAGATGTCAACAGCTCAGGGCTTATGCTCATACTACTGTGGGCTGTACTCGGACAGGCTTGTTCAAGTCCATTACTGGCAAAATACTATGGGAGTGCTGTGCATTCACAGCAATCCTTTATGACTCATAAGCTCTGGCAGTTTCCAAGGCTATAGAAGTGGAGCTGGAGAGGATGTTCAGGGGGAGTTGTGGGCCAATGTAGTGAAGCCCATATGGTATTTCAGTGCCCCATTTGTGAGCTATGTTAGTTGAACTAAGGGAATAGAGGCCTATCTTAACCTCTATGTGGTTCTACATCAGGTCTCATAAGAACTTTTTATGCGGGACTTGGGGGATGGTGTTGACCCTTTTACAATGATGGGCAGAGCTCAGGTCTTCAGTGTTTGATGGACAACTGGCTTGTGCATGGCTTGTTGTCTTAACGAGGTAGGTTATGGAATGTCATGTTCCTGATGAGTGCCTCATTGTAGGCTGTGGTAGGGTATACCTCTGGACTTCAGTTCAGCCTGCCCTCTGGTGGTATCTCATCTAAAGATGGCCATGTGTCCACCCAATGGCTGTCTGGGTTCTCCATACTGGGGGGGCTTCCAGATCTCCTTTCTGATATTACTGATCAAAAGCATTTATTAAGAAAATGAAGGTTTGTTACCCTTTTACTACAGTGAAAAAATGTACAATTTACAATTGACATGAGCAATTTACAATTTACAATATACATGTGCAATTTACAATTTACATGTGCATTTGACAATTTATAGTTTACAATTTATTATTTATGATAAACAATTAATAATTAACAATTAACAATTTACAATTAAAAACAAGCAATTAAACATTAACCATTAACCATTAACCAATTTACAATCTACCAGTTACAAGTTACAACTTTACAAGTTACAAGTTACAAGTTACAAGTTACAAGTTACAAGTTACTTACAAGTTACAAGTTACAAGTTACTTACAAGTTACAAGTTACAAGTTACAAGTTACAAGTTACAAGTTACAAGTTACAAGTTACAAGTTACAAGGTTGTTGCATGTTACACGTTACAAGTTACATGTTACAAATTAAGATTTTAGATTTAAGATTTAGAATTTTGAACCTTTTAAATTTTACCCTTTATTTAGGCTTGTCAGCATGCGTTTAAATTACTGGTGACCAGAGATAATCCGAGACAAGTTTCATTCCTAAACTTCAGGTTAGTATACTTTTTACTTCTTTCCTAAACTTCAGATTAGGATACTTTTTACTTCTTTTCTAAACTTCAGGTTAGGATACTTTTTACTCCTTTCCTAAACGTCAGGTAAGGATACTTTTTACTTCTTTCCTAAACTTCAGGTTAGGATAATTTTACTTCTTTTCTAAACTTCAGGTTAGGATACTTTTATTTGTTTCCTAAACTTCAGGTTAGGATACTTTTTACTTCTTTCCTAAACTTCAGATTAGGATACTTTTTACTTCTTTCCTAAACTTCAGGTTAGGATACTTTTTACTTCTTTCCTAAACTTCTGGTTAGGATACTTTTTACTTCTTTCCTAAACTTCAGATTAGGATAATTTTTAATTCTTTCCTAAACTTCTGGTTAGGATACTTTTTACTTCTTTCCTAAACTTCAGGTTAGGATAATTTTTACTTCTTTCCTAAACTTCAGGTTTGGATACTTTTTACTTCTTTCCTAAACTTAAGGTTAGGAAACCTTTTACTTCTTTCCTAAACTTAGAGTTTCGAAACCTTCTTTCCTAAACGACATTTTAGGATACTTTTTACTTCTTTCCTAAACTTCATGATATGATACTTTTTACTTCTTTCCTAAACTTCAGGTTTGAATACTTTTTACTTCTGTCCTAAACGACAGTTTAGGATAATTTTAAATCTTTCCAATGTTCAGGTTAGGATACTTTTTACTTCTTTCCTAAACTTTAGTTTAGAATACTTTTTACTTTTTTCCTAAACGACAGTTTAGGATACTTTTTGCTTCTTTCCTAAACTTTAGGTTAGAATACTTGTCACTTCTTTCCTAAACGACAGTTTAAGATACTTTTTACTCCTTTCCTAAGCTTTATTTATTTATTCAGTGGACTGATCGCTCAGTTTTCTCCGTCTAGTTCTCCTCTGGATCGAATGCTGATCTTTAAATCAATGTTAAATAAACCAACCAACCCTGGGCAAACCTACCTCTGTATAGAGGTTAGTTATGCAAGGCTGGTGTAGGGCCAGGTTATCATTGGTATTTTATTCAAACTTTTAAACATTTGTTTGGAAATAAGGTTTAAATTGATCTTAAAAAAATGGAAATAAGTTTTTCATCGCTTGATCATTGATCAAGTAAAGGTTAATTGAAAATTTAGGGTTCATTCTTAGGTCAAGGAAAGGAAAATCTCTTGTAAATAAAGGTTTTTTATTTGTAGGTCAAGTAAATGTGCGTTGAAACTAAGTTTTTTGTTTTTAGGTCAAATAAAGTTTTTTTTAGGTAATAGAGTTTTTATTGGTAGATCAAGTACATATTTATTTGGTAAATCTGTTTGCATTGTTAGATCAAGGAAGGATTTTAAGGGTAAAACTTTTTCCATTGATAATCAAATATATATTTACTGGGTAAAACTGTTATCATTGCTAGATCAAGTAAATATTCATTTGGGTAAATCTGTTTGCATTGCTAGATCAAGGAAGGATTTTAGGGGTAAAACTTTTTCCATTGATAATCAAATATATATTTACTGGGTAAAACTGTTATCATTGCTAGATCAAGTAAATATTTATTATGTAAACTGTTTTGGATTTGTTTGGGGAAAACTGTTCATTGGTAGTTCATGTAAGGACTTGTTTGAGTAAAACTGTTTTCAACAAATTTTGTTTTTTCAGGATTTCTACAAGATTTACGATTCTGTTCAATACAGGTAAAAGTTATTTCATCCCAAGGGTTTATAATTGTGGGGAAATAGTCGATTTGTTTTTCCAGATCACTAAAGTAGGGTATGCTGAAGGGGGGGGGGGGCAGAAATATTAAATTGGGTTGTTGCGTTTCTTGGCTGATCTGATTTTTGGTCGGTTCCACCTTTTGGTCGGTTCCACCTTTTGGTCGGTTCCACCTTTTGGTCGGTTCTTCCTCTAGGTCAGTCTCATCTATTGGTCAGATGTTTTGGTTGGTCCAATCCTTTGGTCTGTTCCGTCTCTTGGTCCAATCCTTTGGTCTGATTCGTCTCTTGGGTGCTTCAGTCTTCTAGTCGGTTCCGCTTGGCATTAATGTCTGGTGAATTAAGGTGGAAGTTGAAGAAGCAGAAGACCCCCTATTATGAAAGCTGTAAAACCTGTTATTCTCTCCTAGCGGGAGGAATTCGAATTCTTGTCAAATCGAAGGTAGGAACAAAATTGGGTTCAAGGATTTTTCATTAAGATAATTTTGGTAAAAAGCAACCCAAAAGATGTCTAAAGTAAAACGGCAAAATCCTTTTCGTTTTTCAAATTGCATTCTGTTCATAAAAAATTAATTCTAGATAGATTGAGAGTCGATATCCATTTAATTCAACCATATTTTTTGATTGTCTTAACAGCTGACGAGAGATTATGGATAATGTCGTCCATAACGTACCATAATTAGTTTAACTAAAATTCAGGAAGAATGAGTTCAGCTGTTAATGACCAAGAACATCAGTTTTGTGCCAAATCTCTGTTGTGAACTAATTGTCCCTATATCTCCAGGGGTTTGAGTTTTTGATCTACATGATGATCTTCACCAACCTGGTCCTGTTGGTCCTGCAGACCTACCTCCTCACTAACACCTCCGACTCTCAAACTATTTACGCTTTCTGGGTTTCATACATTTTTATCTCTGCGTATACGTTGGAGGCAATTCTCAAAATTATAGGTGATATATTTTACAAAATATATTTGTGAAATTTAATAAGGAAAATTGTAAAATGAGACCATAATTTTAGAAGAAAAACTAACCTTGTACAACAGTAAGGGAGGTCGATATTTTAATAATTTTCAAATTCTTAATTGCTTCAACCGGTTTATTATGGAGCATACAAATTGTAACAACTTTGAGAAAAAGAATTTTTCTTTAAAATCAATTTGAGTAGGACGAATTTGACTTTTAAGAAAAAATATTAAAAAACGCACTGGTTTAAAAAAATCTCCAGAGCATGCTTATCTGAATGTCTAAAGATCCGTCAAAGGCTGCTGATTATGGTACATCTTTTAGATTTTTAAAGTTCTAAAGATTGGGTTAGTTAATGTCCAAAATCGGGTAATTTCCCTCCTTAAACCCTTTTTTGTCACTAACTTTTTTATTTATGAACTGTGGAATTTCCAAAATCAACCTCTCTTATTGTACATTGATACCTATAAAACTCTGGAATAGGAAGACGACTATTAGGCTTAAGTTATGCTTTTAAAATGTCAAATGAACATGAAATACGGCAAGGGAGCAGTTCACAGAGTAGAGACCCATTTTACTTAATCTATATGATATTCAAACTGCTAGTAAGTTACGTCAAATACAAATAAGATTGCGTAAATATCGTCTTTCTATTCTTCTTGTATGGGTTGTATGGAGTTAATTGATGAGCCACTGGCTGGATAGTATCACCTTTTTTATCTTCTGACAATGGGCTAATTGTTGTGGGTATAAAGGTTCAGTTAGAGTAGGTGTGGGACGGTGCTTCCCATGCCTGCCGGCGGTCTGGGGGGTTCATAACGGGACCTCTTTTTCAGATTTCTTTTCTAATAGTTCTAATGGGTCTCACTGTAATTGTGTCGGGACTTCTATCTTTTTTCTTTTTTTACTTTTTATCTTTATCAGGTTTGGGATTCGTAGGCTATTTCAGCTCAGCCTGGAACATTTTTGATTTTTTAGGTAATTTTAGTTTTTACTAAAATTGGCTTTTTTTATTTAAAGTCACAAAGACGAAACAACCCTCCAAAAAAAACTTTTTAAAAATACACAAAAACTGATTTTGATAAGTTATTTACCCTCTTTCAAAAATTTTTAGATACTCTCTTTAAATAGTGTAAGGGACTGTAATCTTGATTTCAAGTGACCCTCCATGCAAAGATGACAATGTCGGATTCACAACGGTCACCTTGAAACCTTTATCTGATCAATAATGTGAAATTCTGATCAATTCTAAATGTTTTCCAGCAGTAGTATAAAGCGCAAGTCCTTTTTGTAGAGAAACCCCAACTGAAAATACGTAGGTTTTATAATTATAAAATTATAAATAGTTATATCTATTTCATACTTGATCAGATCAAGCTTTTAACGGTACTGTTGAGAATCGGCATTGCCATATATGCATGGAGGATCACTTGAAATTACGAACTCCAACATTCTGATAAGTTACAAAATTTTCTAAATAGTATAATCCTTAATTCGAAAAATTGGGAATATAATTTTAAAACGTGTAAAATATCGAAATCTTTTGTGGTCCCATTTTAAAGCTAAAAATCCTTGAATGTTGAAAAAACGTATGAAGTTACCCAACGAGCAACACTACCTCTAATTACCTATCTATGTCTAGTAACTGTAAGCGGACTGATTAGTATTGTATTGACTGAATTAAACATACCTTCCTTCTATGTTGTCATCTTTAGACCTCTCAGACTACTCAGGTAAATTATTCCGATTAGGAGTTGATCCTTTTCCCTGCAATAACAAATATGGATATGTTTAGAAGGGATCAACTCGTTTATCATGGAAACCCAGAAAACTTTGGATTAGGAAGACGACATCATAGCAATAATAGTTAGTAGTGTAGAGGGATGGATCGTTTTCTTTTTTGAAAAGACGACATTATTAATCGTCTTCATAAATGTCAAAGGCTCATATTTATTAATGACATTTTTTTAAACAATCGTTATGAAACGGTCGCTTATCGTTTATATATAAACAATTGTTTTTAAAAAATTAACATTATTCGTTCTCTAAAAGTTCATAACAGGTGGGTCATTTTCCGAAAACAAATCGATCGAAATACAAAACTAAATACAATTGTTTTACCATCGTTTTCAAAAACGATCAACAGCTCTAAAGTGTTCAAATCTCTTATAAAGTTAAATGGGTCTGTTTACTCTGCACAATTGCTGTGTCTTATGTTCATTGGACTAATTATATTTAATACCCTGAGAATAAAAGTCGTCTCCCTTTTCTAGAGTTTTTTGGTTATCATTGTATTGGGAAGGTTAATGGGCAAGTTTAAGGGAGTGACCGGCAATGTATGGTATTTGAACTGAGAATGTAATATTGAGAAATTGTTTATGATTCATTTGAAACATATAAAACGTTTTAATGATGTATAATTACTGAGTTTAAGCGCAAAGTCGACGTTTAAAATCATCCATTCGGGTGGTTACCGTTAGAGAATCATTTTTTTTAAATTATTAAATGACTACGAAAAAAAATGTTTAAAAAATTCTACAATAAACTGATGGCATAAATAGAAACAGGTCGAGAAATAAAAATTAAATCTTGTCATTGAAAATTAGTAATCTTTATTAGATGTTTGTTTCTGTAATGTTTCATTTTTCACAAACGTTTTCTGTAGGTTTCCTAATATTTTATTAAAAAGACGACATTTGGAGAAATCTGCCAACAAATTTGTAAATTATAATAAATTCAATAAAATGATGATAAAGAATGTATTTAATTAATTCTCACATTGATTAATTGACAAATACATCAACATACATCATTGAATATTATATGTCTCAAATTAATCCTAAAAAATATCTCCACAATACTTCATTCTCAGTTCAACTACCATACATTGCCGGTCACTCCCTTTAAGCAACAATTGACTGTTAATTTCAGTTACCAAAATCAATAATTAGATTAAAGATAATTTTTGCTGGATTCTTAACAAATCACGTAAAAATCTTTGTCATACAATCTGAAGTAAGCAAAACACTTATGGTAAATGCGGAAATCGGTCAACAGGCAACAAGAGGTTTAATTAAAAGGTTTAAGGCAGTGCTTAGGATCAGGATCCATTAAGTCTTAAACTTCTAACTTCTCTTAAATTGGCAAATTAGCAACCAAAAGAAGCTGTTGAGAGTTTTTTTTTTAATTCATAATCTGGTTCTGGATTCATTTTTTACTAAAAGGATCGAGGACCTACAATGAAATGGGATAGATCCTGGCCTCATTTATTTAGAATGATTATAATAATGATAAAAAACAATTATTTTATTCTTTTCTAGACTGTTTAAACTGAAGAAAAGATTCCGCGATGTTTTCGGAACTTTTATCATCCTGCTTCCTCGTCTCAACTCAGCTGTTATTGTTCTAGGAAAACAACAATCAGAAAACTAGATTCTTTTGAAATATTTTTTATGGCGGAAGGGGTAATTTAATTTTTTTTTGTTAACTATTTCTTTTTCACTTCCATTTGTACTAAAATATGACATTAGAAAGGACTCATTCCTGTGAGTATTGGAGGGAATAGTGACTCGTCCGTTCTGCCATTACATGACGATTATGACAAGGTTGGGTCCAGATTCATGTTGAATATTCAATGAACATGATTCAGATATATGATTTTTTGCTTATTTCAAATGATATCATATTATTTATAACAATTGGTTAGTTGTCTTTGTGGAATGTGGATGATTCTTTAATTTTAGTCGTAAACAACCAAGCTATATTACGCTTTATTCACTTCAAACGAGATTTAATGATTTCTTTAAAAAATAATGGTTTTTCTTTTCAATTCTATTCTATTTTTAACAATCGGTGAGTTTGTTATATTGGCAACAGGGCTCAAATTTGGTGGTGTGTTGTCTTAACCTGCTAAAGCAATACCTAGCTTCACATAAATTCAGTTTTCCTCTCACGTAAACAGTATTTGTTATATTGGCAACAGGGCTCAAATTTGGTCGTGTGTTGTCTTAACCTGCTAAAGCAATACCTAACTTCACATAAATTCAGTTTTCCCGTAATTCTCATTAAAACATTTCATAACATTGGTAGAAATCAGGCTGAAAACCCCAGATGTTGGCAAGATTGCATTTAAGAACCTTAAGCCATCCCTGCTAGTATGATTTGATTTGATAGACATGGACATTTAAGAGATCACAGTATAAAGACATATAGTAGTGCCATCCTAGAGGGAGAGGGAGGGAGATAAGACAGCAGCAGCGAATAGACCCTAAATAAAGATCAATGAGTGGGATGGCGCAAATTCGGCAAATTTTAAAAGATGGTGTATTAACAATATTTTACGATGACTCTAATTGTTGTTGTTCCCTAGTCTTGATTTATTATTTCTATGGAATCATTGGAGTTGAACTTTTTCATTGGTGTGATCTCAGGTATAACGTTATTCAATTTTCTTTGATCTTCAACGTATTTTATTTTTATATCTCTATCACTGCAAACTAACCAGAAGGAGAAGGTCAATTTCAATTGACATTACTATCACAGCTTTGTGACTCCGTTGCTCCTTTAGTTCTGATTTTACGCACAAGTGTAAGAAAAGCTACTTTATTCGGTTACATATTAGAAATTCAAAACATTTTTGTTCTTTTCAATATCTCCTCAATAACAGAAGTTATGATAAAAAACATATAAGCTATCAATCTTACTTGCATTTTACTTTAGTTTGACGTGCTATCAATTTGAACAAAATTGCACTGTCAATTAGATCAACTTTAAGAAAAAACTTGCTATACGATGGAAAGTTTTAATGTCAACACAGTTTTAAAATAGGAACTCATCAAAAATGTTGGAATGGAGTACTATAATTAAAGTACTATTAATTGTATTTAGGAATTGTTGTAAGAATACAACTGTAGAACCCTACTACAATGATAATGCAGAGAATGGTAGTGGAATAGGATACTATTATCTAAACAATTTTGAAAGTTTACCAATAGCAGGTAGGATACTGAAGCTATAAAATGTATTAATATTCTAGCCTTCTTCTATGGCTATCTGATTCTGAAATCAGCTTTAAGTTTAATTAAAGTAAATGTCGAATATGATTTGATTTGATACTGCGCAATTGCCACGTACTTGGTTTGTTAAGCTTTTTGTGTAAATAGCTTCGTTATAAAATGTGTCTCTGTAGTTTAATATATTTTTGGTATTCTGTATTGAATTCTACTTAATACTTACACAAATTCATCAGTTTTCTTTTTTATTTGTTTTTATTTGAATTTAGTTTTTTAACGCTTTTGATACTTGTTTCACTGATCAACGCACTGTTTTTGTTGTTAGGTATAACCTTGTTTGAGCTGACCGTCGTGAACAACTGGTCTGTTATTATGGAAGGGTTTGCCAACACCGCCGGAGAATGGTCAAGGAAATTCAACTTTTATTCTTTTTAATTTGAAAAATGTATTTATAATTAAATGGCTATTATTACAATTATTTAGCATATAAAAAATGTATTGAATAGGACAAAAGCAAACATAGATTAGTAGCATTGGAGGACAGATACAGTTGTTGATTAGGTAACAATCATTAGGACAAAGAAAGTCCAAGTACAATCATTTATTAGGACATGTACAATCATTGATTAGGACAGGTACAATCATTGATTTGAGCAGGTACAATCATTGGTAAGGACAGGTACAATCATTGATTAGGACAGGTACAATCATTGATTAGGACAGGTACAGTCATTGATGAGTGCATGTACAATCATTGATTTGCACAGGTAAAATCATTGATTAGGACAGGTACAATCATTGATTAGGACAGGTACAATCATTG